GGGGGGGGGGGGGCTCAAAAAATTAATGACAATCCCTGATGGCAGCTGCTGATGTCACAGGATAGAAAGTGGATTAGCTAAGGGCTTAAAGGTGATTTTTTCCGTGCATTTTTAATTATCGAGGAAGAAGAAACACACAAATGAAATGATTGAAAGTTTATTTTTAAATCATAATCAGTTTCTTTAGGTTGAGATTTATTTTGCTGTAAACGCAATTATCTAATGCAACAAAACTTATGCGTGAAACCAATAATATTACAAAAATATAAGATTGGTAAAGCACTTCCTTATTTTCCAGGGGGGGGGGCTCAGCCCCCCCCTCTCGGTTTTCTTCAGGAGGGGCTGAAGCCCCAGACCCCCTGATTTTACGCCTATGGCTTGTACATCTGTCTACCAGACTATCCCTCCGTCTTCTGTCTTCCGCTTGGCGATTGCAGTCCGCTAAAGAGGCACCCACCAGGCTCTTGATGTTGTCAGTCCATCTGCATTTCCGTTCAGTTGTTCGTTTTTCTTTTTTCTTGAACGTTTCGTGTACTAATTTTGAACATTGTTTCTTATTTCATTTGTACAATCACTTTGCCAGAGCAAGCTCTCACAAATGGTTATTTTGAATCATTCCAAGAATGAACTGTCCCCTGCCCCGAAAGGGCAATATTTTTACTGTAGAGATCATTCAAGATCTGGAAATTATTGCTAATTTTTGAAAGTAACTACAAACTAAACTGAACTTTAAGAGCATCTGTATTGAACTTTAATGTTATGTTAATGGTAGTTGGAATACAGAAGAGAGAAAGTTTAGTGCTCCCTTACGCCATTTCTTTTTGCTTCTAGTTTGATACCAAGGCTGTTTCAGTATGAAAGCGTGGTTTTGCTGGCACATCAGATGAATTTGATGGAGAACTTTGACTGCCTATGTAAATATAACAAATTTCCATGCTTTGTTTAGAATTTGTAACATATCTAAAACAGCCAGACTATAATTTGTATTTGAATATCAATAGAAACTTTCGTGAAGGCTTTTGTATCAATAAATTCTAAGGAAAGGAAAGTGCCAAGCTTGAAAACGAGAAGCAAATTATCTAGCTTTCTTATCACTTTATTATGACCTTGATATGCTATGTATTTCTCATGGCAGAACTCACAACTGCCACCAATGCACTTTTGTTTACAATGCACCAGTGCACCAATGCACCAGGTAGCACACTGTGCATTCACAGTTAATGACAAGTGTTGCCATTTGCTTTCCCTTTTCCCCTCATCCTTTTACACTTTCATTGCAAAAGCTTTTATTTGACAACCTTTAGTTGTAAAAATCGTTTTATTGGTAATATCATTGCTCTTGAACTTAAATGAAGATTCAATCCCGTTAGTTTTTTCATTCTAACATGCATTGTATATTTTTTTAATACATGAGATTTGCAATTTTATTTTAAAAATTACTTGCATACATTTCGTATATTAAAATTCCAATAAACCTCACTAATATGCTTTTTATAAATAGTTCTTCATAATATGTAAATTTTGTATTTCGATGTTAATGTTCCATTTGTTTCTACCTGAATGCGTGTATATCGTAACAAAATAAAATGATTAATATATTTTATAATATTTTTAGTGTTACAGCCACACTGGCATGCCGTCCTTTTTCAAAAAAGATTAAACCCCCATTAAGGGCAGATATCAATGACCTCTAGAACAAGGATACGAGACTCAATCCCACAAGAATCATAATATAAAACATTTTCTGAGACACAGGCCTAAGGAAGCAATTATTGTTTTCACAGCAACACCAATTATGCTCGACAGTCACATTTGAATTTTGATTGCCAAACTAATGTAATTCTTATTGAAAAAAAATTGGATGGCAAAATATAAATTAAGTAATTGAAATCACACTTGATAAATTAATTTTTTGTATGCAATTAGTAGTTTGAAAAATATCTACCCTCTCCAAAACACAGACGAGCAAGTATTGAAAAGATTTATCGAGAAATCTTACATCCACTAAAGTAACTAATAAGCCTCTGTTACAATTAAATTTCTGCAGAAATATAGGTTATGAAACATGCCTTATTCTTTCTCGTTTGATGCTTTTATATGTCTCATTTGATGCACTGACATATCCCATTTGATGCTCTTTTCAGATATAGCAATTGGCTTATTTAATGGCTGACTAAATGAACCGCTTTTTTTTAGAGTTTACAGTGCAATTAATTTCACATTTTTTTAACAATCTTAGTTGCTGATTTTTCATTATTCTAATAAAAATGAAAAGAATTGTAAACCTTTATTGCTGGTAAATTCTTGTCTTTTATCGTGTAAATTGGATCTTCCAAAAATTGCAAGCTAAATCGGTAATAATTGGTCAGAAATATTGAGAGAAATGTAAAAGCCGTTGCATTTTGATTAGATCTTGCTCTGATGTTAAGAGGCACAGTGGCGGCGCCAAGGGGTGGTATGGGGGGGGGGGTAATTACCTCCCCACTTTTCTGAAAATATAGTCTATATATTTCTTCTAAAAATGGATTAAAAAGCGCTGGGTAGGGGTAGATCAAATTTCCCAAGAAAGGGGACAAATCACTGGAACGAGGCCAAAAGGGCGTGGTCATACTGGCCACGCCCATTACCCTCCCACTCTGTAATAGCTGGCGCCGCCACTGAAGAGGCATAAACACTAGAATGGTTGGTATGCTAGGCAGTCTATTTTATCTCATAAGAACTACCCATTAAGTGTTCCCCCATTTGAGTGTTGACTTTATTCGAGTTGTTATGGATACTCAAATGGAAGCGGCAGAGTATTTTATGATAATACAATTTAAAACCTGTAAATTCATATGTTATAACAACTATGAATACAATTATTTTAGAAAAGGCATTAGAAACCCAATTCGTGTTATGTTTCTGGGCCCCTTAATAAAATTATGGATTGTTGCTGATTGCTAGACTATTAGGAACCATTTACCACCTACTGATAAGATGCAAATATCGGTGGTCTTGATTTGCATATCACCCTTCACATCCACTACCAGGCTGGTGCCTGCAATTCCTCTATACAACGTTGTTACTACCACCAACATGGCCCCAATCTTTCCAGCAAGATGAATTATAGAAATTTGCTGACCATCTTTGAAGTTCAAGGCGCGGGCCTGGAAACATACCCACTCAAGCACCCTTTGCACCCCTTTTTGATCCAATTACAAACCCCTGTAGAGTATCTGTGGTCTACTTTATTTTGGTTATCAACCCTAGCAAGGATAATCCATTTGAATGCCTGGGCGCATGGCTTTGATAGCTCTGTCTTGAGTTCTAAGTAAAACTTATGTTGTTTATCTTTACCTTTTTGCATTACTTTATCTTCAAATCTACATCACTGACTGTAACTAAACAACGTTAGAATGACATAGCATAAAATTTGCTTGATATGCTGAAAATTATTTTTGAGTTTGAGTTAGAGATAACCAATCTGAAGTTGATTTCCACATGGTACCGAGGCGCTGTTGGTGCCAAAGCGAGGGTTTCAAAAAGTGATCTTTGATCGTAATAATTTTTTGTTTTGGTTATAGTGCAATATTTTTGCAATGTGTGAGATGGCATTTAAGAGGTCAGTTCTAGTACAGGAACGTTGATTTTTATGTTGATTTCATAATGAGATTTTTTGATTCAGTTATTTTGCTTTCTATCATTTGTGTTGGATTTGCACTCGGTCACAAATCTTTCAAAGATGTAGACGAAAGAAGTCTGAAGATTAAGAAGTCTGAAGATAAACTAAAAGTCAAATCTCAAGCAATTCAGAGACATTTCTATGAAGGAAATAAAGCAGATTTTCAAAGCAGTAAAAACATATCGGTTATAGCATTTGGAAGTTGCAGGTATTTGCAAATTTAATGCGCCGTTATGTTTTATTCCTTGAAGCATGTTGGTGTTAGTTCTCGAATCGTCTCATTATTGTCATGTGACTTTTGGTTATTGATGTAACGGGATGTATTTTACTTACTCTAGTTCGTACATTTTGCGTATATTTTACTGTGCTATTTATGACACTATGATATTTATAAAAAGGTTAATAAAGGAATCATCTGCATAGTATTATTAACGCTTTCGTCTGATGACCAAATCAACCCAAGCTCAATTGAGTCAATATTCTGAATCAGCCATATTTAATCAAGCCTCCTTCTTCCTTTTCGGCTTTTTTCTCACCATGTTCATAATTCTAGTTCTCAAGTTAGGTGGATAACAAGGAGGATGAAATTAATATACCACTTAATCATTGAATAATCATTCACTGTTCACTGTCATATTGTCTTAAAATTATCTGGATTTTTCATTTGAGAATAAATAAAGTAATAAAACATGATCTAACAAGCATGTGATCATATAAGGGGAATAGCCAATCTGCACAGTTTGGCAAATTTTTCTAAAATGCTTTGATTTGATCATTAATTAAGCGTGTGGATGATTAAGAAGTTAGGGTCATAGACCCAAGAATCCGAGGTCAGGTTATTTACCATGATCAAAGATTCACTTTGAGTGTGGAGAGTTCTGATATATTTGAATTTAGTTGAATATAAAAAAGTTTAAATAATGGAAATTGCCATGCTTTTGCATCTACATCAATGGTTTTAAGACTCAAACTTCAAAGTTGATCACATATGATAATTGGTGAGACAGGGCTATGTGGCTGCTTCCATTTACCTGTTTCCTTCTTTTGTAAGTTTCCTCAATCTTGGTATATTCTGTGTATATCTTTGACATATTATCAATGGCCAAAGTTTGGTTATACAAAGGCATTTTCAAAATAGATTACATTACAAAAAGTATGTTGCCAAAATATTAGTTACCCCTCCCTCAATATTTTCTCAATGAATTTAGATGAAATACAAAATTGATCCTGTCAAGGACTGGGGGGAAGCCCCTCCTCCCCATGGAACTGCTTTTAGTTCATTTCTTGTCAGAAAGGTTTTTATATTTTGCAAAATTGTACTTGATTGAGTTTGAAAAACTAATTTTTGTACTTTATTCATGTAACCTTTCTATCATTCTAGCCATTAACTCTTTTTGCTTGATTCCTGTAGCTCTTTGGTACTGCTTTTCATAAACTATTCTTTTACAGCTGATGTGTGTTTAATAATTAATAGGTCATGTTCTTGCTTTTGCAGCAAACACACTCATAGACAACCATTATGGAAAAATATTTTGGCACAAAAGCCTGATTTATGGATATGGCTTGGAGATGGTAAGTATTTGCAGAAGGGCTATTTACCGTCTGCTTAGTAATGAAGGATTTTTATCATATTTTGATATGAGAAGTTATGTCTTTTCCTGCTGCAAATGGCTAGCTGAAATCATGGGGGCATGGGGGACTAAATCAGCATTCTTGTTGGAAAATTCGGGCTTTTGCTGGATAAAAGACTAATGTTTAATGAAAACCAATCAAGCAACATGTTATCTAGTCTGAAAAACATGAGCCTGAGCCCCCCAAAATGAAAGCCTGAATTTCCTTTACTGGCAAATGGTGCAGATAAAAGTATTATTGTTGTTTTCATTGATTAAAAAAAAGATAAACTTTGTTAGTAATTGCGGAAATTCAGGCTTTCATTTGGGGATGCCAAGGCCTACAGTTTTCTGACAGGATCACATCTCAGATTATGTCTAATTTTAAGGAAACTGCACATTTTGATGAAAATGGAGATTTTTTGGTAGGATCCTTTAGAAATATTTGTTGACCACACCATAATTAAGTAGCAAGAAGAACAATTCATTTATGATTTTGATATCAAGATTGATATCTCCTCTAAGGCAGTTGATGATACATGAGGTTGACCGATTACACTTTTGACAAGTTGTTCATGATAACAACATGATTGTAATTGTAATGTTCATTTAATGCTTTTTATCTTGTTTTCTTCAATGAAAAATATGTTTGAAAATAACTTTTATTTGGAAGAATACAATGAAATGTTCAGCAAATCTTTTTTGCAGAATTGAAATCAAATATATAATTCAGAACCAGCTTTGATGCCCCTGAGGTAAAAAGGGAAATACAGAAACTTTGGCAAATGCGCAAAATACATTTCACAATGATTTCTTGCAGTAATTTCAACATGTTGTCATGTGACTGTTCTCAATAATCCGACGAAAGTCCAAATTTTCCAACAAGATTGCTGATTGGGGAGACCAGATCCCCCAAACCCCCATAATTTCTGTCACTGTTTGTTAGTGCCATTGTTGGTGGGCAAAATTCAGTCTCACTTGCTTTGAGTTAGTCTAAATGAAAATGACATAGCACTATACTCATAACCAAAAGTTACATGATCACTTAAAGAACTCCAGTATTTTGCTGAAAGCTGCTGCCCTTTTGCCTCTTTGACAATTTATTCTATGAGTGAAATGTATTTGTTTGTGTGAAACAAAATGCTGAGGAAAGGGTTGTTAAAGGAAAGCATCTCTAACAGAGACACTTCTATGCTAATATTAAAGTGTAACATTGCAAAAAACCTTTCTATTGTTCCTTGTCCTCTTTCAATCAACACTCCTTTATACTATGTATAAAGGCACTTTGTCCAAACAGTCCAAGTTCTCTGTAACAAAAGGCTCTGCAGATTATTTGAAATTGAGAAATCACTTAATAGGTTTTTGTCAGGCATTGCCTTTTATAAATGAAATTATAGACTGTTGTATATAACAACCAGTGGGAATCTAGTTGAAGCAAAAGCTCACCAGGACTGAGTGTCTTTAAGCTTAGGATTGCCTTGTAATGTAATGGTGTTCATTTGAATGAAAATTCCCACTAGTGTGGTATTTTTAGTCTTCTAGAGGTGTTTTAAAGGGAACAGGTGTTTTGATCTTTCATTGCTCTGGGCAGCTGTAATTCTACACATGGCTGTAAAACAGGCCAGGTTCCAAAGGAACATTGAAAGGGATGATTTTTGTAGCTTGAGTTTTCCTTTTCCAGCTTAAAAGATGATGGTGATGAGCAAAAAGCAGGCGCTTGACAAACTAAGCACTTTCAACCTACTGGGTGCTCAATTGAGCATCACCAAATATCATCAATAATATAGTTTGGTTTTTTGCATTTAATTTTTAGACATTATAAACACGCTAGGTGCTCGATCAATCAAGCTTCTAGAACTTTCTAGGTGTGTGTGGAGGTGCTTGATCAAGCGCCTCTCTGAGCAAGGCCTGGGGGGAGGATATTAAAGAGTATAGACCAATTTATCAGCCCTGTAATGTTGGTCTTACTGCACCTGTAAATGTCCTTAAAATTGTGTGCCAGTTGGCCCCCATCTTCATTCCTAAGTATGAGTTATTCATATCACATTGCTTTACCTTTTTGCAGCTGTTTATGCAGATACCAGGCTAATGCCTTTTGTATGGATTGTTGCCAGCCTACCTGAAATGCAACATAGGTACAAGCTGCAGAAAGACCATCCTGAGTACCAGGTAACATCAGATATTAGATGTTCTTTTATATGGTATTTGATTTAAACTAAATAGCAATGTAAGGGAATTTGGGGATTAAGGTAAAGGTAGGTGTGCCATGAAGGGTGTGTATAATTTGTATCATTCGCTGTTCCTTTGTTAAAATCAAGATTTTGATATTGCTCTTTTTGTCAAACATTTCTTGTCCTAGGGTATCTTGGAGGATCTTAAAATGGGTGATTTCTTTTAAAGATATAACAGGCCTTGCCAGGAAAGGCACTTGATCGAGCGCGAGCACTTAAAGTGCACCTAAAAATAGCCACGAAGAGCCATTTAATGAGGGCCTTAAAATGTAAAACGATATTGCCCCACAGCGAAATATTGTTTGAATTTAATGTTAATAAAACTTTAACAATCTTCTCAATTAGCTGTGAAATATTTTGGTTTATAAGATTTATACAACAGTTTATACCACTAATCTTTTGATGACTAGATTTTGCACCTGGCTCCTTTTAAGCCACGTCTACAAGAATACTTTTTTTAATGAGAAGGTTTTTTCCATTCAACGAAAATACGAACGTAAAAACACAACACATTTTCATTAAGAAGAAACACAAATTTTTGCAAACAGCAGTTTTACATAAAAGTGTGAAATGGAGCGCCTTGAGTTTTATAGGAGCAACTTCATTTTGCTTAGCACAAGGCCTTATATATATCATAAACTACTTTTGTTAATTTTTTTTAACCAATTGATATAGTTTTTGTCAGATTGTTTTGCCCTGGTTTTATTTTGATTGTAAGAACTGAATCTCAGTTGCATAAGAATTCTTCATGTCTTTAAACCAAGTAAACTTTTTGTAGCCTTTTGATATATTTTTGTCCTCCTAGCACAATGAAAAAGTATTGTTCATATAGAGTTAAAGTAACAAGCTTAATTTATTTCTAGAAATTTCTACGTTCAAATATACCAATCATTGGCGTTTGGGATGATCATGATTATGGTTCAGATTTTGGCAATAAGGTAAAAAAGTTCTTAATTGATGACGTCACAAAAAGCTATTTTTAGAATTTTGAATTTGATGGCCACATGTGTATTGGCTCTCTCCCCATCAAACCTCTGTACTTTGGTCTCTGTTCATAACTTTATGAACAGAGGCAAAATAACAGTTATTCGTTAGCAAACTTCAAATCTTTCATTGGCCATATCTCAGCAGATTTTAGACATATTTGGCCAATTTTGTATATTTGAGAGTATTTCATGGTGATCTTTTAAGTTATGTTGTTAAAGTTTGAAAATTCTAAAAATATATTTTTGATGGCGTCACATTTTAGAACTCTAAGCAATAGAGCTAAAAAAGAATAATATCTCTGAAAAAAAACAAATCTTTATGTATTTTTTGCCGCCAAGTTTTCAAAGGTAGGCTTTAGGACACAGAGAAGCTATGCTCATCGGGCAGTGTCCTGATGGATCTTCTTGATGTATTCACAGTTCCGTGATCCCCACGTCTGGAATTAGAGAAAAATAGCAACCACTTAACTCTTATTTGAAATTTTGATCATGTCATTAACTTGAATTACAAAATCCTTGTATTTTGAAAAGATGTGTCAGTTAATTCAGTGCAATTATTGCAACCACTAAAGCCTGATTTAAATTTTTTATGCGAAGCAAATTTTTCGCTGCAAAATTTTTCGAGTTGTAAAATAAGCCAATTAGAACGGCATATGAAGACAGCTGACTTCTGTTTTGGTTCCTGATGACCTACGTCTTTCCGCATTGATTTTCTCCAACACTCTCAGCCATATAACGTCAATGAAATAGGTTGGTAATTGTTCATTTCCTGTTCCTTGTACACACTCTAGACAGATTATTATTCAAAGTTTTGAATTTCAAATTGACGAAAACTGAAAGTTCTATTGCTCTACCAATCTGTCTGAAATAAACGATTGGCAAGAATTTCCTCAAAACGCTGAAATGTTGGCTGCTTATTTGCCTGCTCACCAGAAACAGTTTCAGTCATAAAAGACTCGAGATCTGCTCGATGCAGATGCACTAACAGGATCACGCATTTTTTCTGCAAGCTTAGGTAACGAGATTCGAAAGTATTTGAAGAAGTATTGCTGGTCATGTGAATGTAAATCTCTTACCGAAAGATGAAACACCCTCTTCTGAACATGCATGAATTTTTCTAACCCAGTATCGTTTTTTGCTGTTTTGCTCGCTTTTTCAATAAAATCAACTTTGAAATTTTGGCCTTTCTGATAACAGCACTCTTAGGACAGTGGCTATATTCTTTTGCATTATTAGCAGCGAATTCGCATAAAAATTTCTGCCAGTGTAAATTGAACATCGTGGCGAGCTAAAAATTGAACAGCTAAAAATTTCATGACGAAAAATTCGTTTCGTGTAAATCAAGCTTAAGAGTGATTTAAAGTACAATCACTGCCAAAATTACTTGGAACACCCAAGACTTTGCGCTGTGTTTTTCTGTTTTTCATTTGTTTTCCCGAATATTACTACTTCCGTCCCCCTTTCTCCCCAAACAATATTGAAAGTATTGAAAAATATAAAACAAGCCACAAGAAAAGCATACTCCATAACCCCTTTCATTTTTCTATAGTAATTCAACATTGTTCCTAGGGGGAGAGGTGGATGGCTGAATTTGCCTTTAAAAACCTACGTTAGTGTTCCAAGACCTTTGGCAGTGATTGTAGTTTACGCAAAAAGGATAGTTTGATCCAGTAGGGTAATATTTTGCACTCATTCGCCCATTTTTGTATTACATGTGCTTTTAGACAACAGAACTAGAATAGAAAAATATGTAAGAGCCAGATTAAATCACTTTATACCTTGGCAATATCCCTTTTTATTTTCAGTATTTCAAGTACAAATACAGGGCACAGGACATTTTCTTGGACTTCCTGGATGAGCCATTAGACAGCTTGAGAAGAAGAAGGCAAGGAACATTTGCATCATATAAATTCGGAGAAGGAAACAGATCAGTTAAGGTTGGACAAGCAATTTGTTATTCATGTTTTTTCACTATGTTTTTTTCATTTACACCTTTATGTTATTTTTATCATGTTAACACGTGATAGATTTTTATCAGGTTTATAACCGATCTAGATCTTAGTCTACAATCCTGGCCACAGCTCTTGAATTATATGTCTAATCATTTGACGATGAGGATCACCAGGCAAGCAAAGCATGCATCTATAAGCCAGAACTCTTTTGCAGAAGACTGATATAAACAAATTGAACTGGACAGGCAGTGGTTGCAATCCTCCACACTATCTGTCTAGGATGTCGAAAAGTTATAATAAAATTGTATGAAGAAGAATGCTACATATGGGAGAGCTGTACTTTAAAACTAAAATGATCCAGCGAAGTTATTAACAAAATTTTACAAGATTCACCATGATTTCCATTTGATACAAACTCGCATTTACTTCAACGGTCATGTTCTTTCAAAGGGCTTAATTGTTCTACACAATTTCATAAACGATATTTTTTCTTCAGATAATTCTGTTGGATGTTCGCAGCAATGCTGAGCCTAGTCACCCATGTGATCTTCTTGGAGAACACCAATGGCAGTGGCTTGAAGACCAGCTAACGAATGATGTCACACAAATCACCATGATTGGGAGTGGTATGCAGGTAAGGCCGTCTATTGCCGATTGCAGCATAGTTTAAGTGCTCCTAATTATAAAAGGTTTTTTGTTTATGGGTCTTTCGGTGTTTGGTCCCTTAAAGCGTTGCAGGCCATTCGTGACGAATAGAAAGCTAAGGTATCTAGAAATACCTCAAGTGTTGGAATGCTCTGGGAGAACTGCTCATATGAAATCATAACTTTCCAAACAATGTTACTCAAGTTTTTTGGTGTTTTTTTAAACATATCACATTTGAATCAAGTCAAGATTTTAGATAATCAAGTCTTGAAGAATATTAAGTTTAACAATTGCGGTGCTCACATAGAAGAAACACATGATGATTCAAAAGCAATAGTATTGGAAATCTCATGACCGATCATCATTGGTTGTCTATTTTTAGCCTGTCACAGCCCCTGGCTTAAGCCACTTATTGTCTTAAGCCACCAAGTGTGCCATTAATGATATTGTGGGCTAGTAGTATAGGATCCATAACACTATTTCTCGATACTCTAGAAATATCGATACCAAAGAACCCAACAGCTTGCATTATGCTGTTGATTTTTTGCTACTCATTTGACAATTTAAAAATTCCCTGCATAATTTTATGCATGATATCTCTGTATTGAATATTTTGAACACTGTCAGGTGGATGAGTCTGTTCTCTTCTAAGGTATATTTGTAAATTGTAGGTTTAACTTATGTTTTGATTTTTTTCGCTAAGAAACTTCTCGTTTAATCTTTTTTAGATAGTTTCTGATATTCCCTTTATTGAGAAATGGCAAAGGTGTGTTTCAAGCTTAGATAGGCTTGTTTGGCTGACACAAAAGCGGGACCACGTAAGATTTGAATTCCTTAATTTTCTTCACATTTCTACGCAGTTTATTTCCTATGTTTCATCGCCCTTTAAAGGCAGTATGTCCCCCATTATTCTCAGCCTCTCTTTCATGGCCAAGATATTCATTCATCGTTGGTTTAATGCACAAGTAACCAATCAGAATGAAGAGCCACAGCAGTGTACTTTCACTGGGCGAGTTGCTGTTAATTTTGTTTTGGTATCAAACATCTAAGTCAGTTTCGATGATATAAAGATTAGGCATTTTTTGTCGTGTTCGCCCAATATACTTAGTGACGGATACTAAATAGGCAGAAGAAGACCCTCTTTCAAGGCAAGGCTTTCAAGCTAGAATTAGCCAATCAAGGAGGGGAGAGACTGCCTTTAATTTGAATGACCTGAGTGTAGATGCCTGCTCTACAAATAGCCTTCCTTGAGTGAACGTTGTTTCACGCAGATTGATTGGATGATTATTACACCTTTTTGGCAAACCGGAAACGCTTGGAGATCATCTCTTTAAACCCGGGTCATTCACTTTAAACATCGGAATTTCTAAACAGTAGCAACATCAGTTTTAATTACCAAGCCAGTAGTGTATCGTATGAAACCTTTTTGATGAGGCCAGGAAGATATTGATTCATTTTTGGCTTTCAAGTCGGGAGTTTCGAGTATTTTGTTACCATATTATTCTTTGTCTACTATCTCATTTGTTGATTCATCGATTCATTAAACTTCGTTCCATATTATTCTATTGTCTAAACACACTTTACGACAACAATTTCCAGTGTTCTGATAACAAGAACATAATAGCTGTCAATCATGACTGTAGTTTCATTGTTCTTTTTGCGAGTTGATGCTCTTAATATTTGATATAAGCCACATCTAAGTATAGCAATTTCAAATTGACTTGAACTGCGATTGTTTGTATTATCACTAGTGAAATGATCCATTGATACAAAATATGCTCTCGTAAAGGCTATAGCAATTTTTATGTGGTAAAAATGTGTTCGTGTAGGCACAATATAATTTATAAATATGTTCTCCACATTGAAGGAATTAGCATTTGTGGAGGTATTATTAAAAATCAACTCTGAACAACTTTGCATGTTTAGATGTCTTTTTTTCAAAGGTATTTTTTTTGAGTGGAGATGTACACTTTTCAGAAGTCAACTGCATGAACGCAACAAGCTCTGGTATTTATACGTTCGAATTTACAATTTGTTACCGCATCTTTTGCCTAAACTAAACCGATAAGTGGGCTATGATAAGTTTATGCGACCCTAAGTTGTCTTTTAAAATCTCCTGACAATGGCCTAAAACTGTTTACTAATCACTATGGTAACTGCTAGCAATGCACCCAAAGAAGCTCATTCCAAGGTTGCCCAGGATCTCAATGCCCTTTTCTTGACACCAGCCATCCTAATTTAACGAGGAATATGAAATAGCGTTTTAATACGCCAAATCTTGTTTTTTGAGACATTTAATCTGGTACAATGCCCTCTGTTTAGCCAATTTGTTGAGAATATGTTTATGGTATTCTATGATCCGATTGGTTTTAATTTTTGGAATCTCAGAATAGCCAATCAGATTACAAGATACTGTCGCAATCAGCCAGGCCCTTTAGGCGATGCAGTCAAACTACCCCATGTAACCCGACTCAGTCCCTCTCTGCCAAATCCAAAGATCATTCCAGTCATAGCTCCTTGTCATCGTTCTATTCAGTATTGTGTTTAGGTATTCAGAACGTATCAGTGTTGCGTCCAGTCACATTTAGACCATGTGAATGTTGTTTATTCTGTCCCCTAGGTTACCCATTGTATGAAGTGACGTCGAGCTCGATGACGCATTCTTGCTCATCCTCCTTGTTGCCCTATGGCATTTGTGATTGGACCCTAAAGTGAGCACATTCTCTCAAACTTGTCTGTTAGGCCCAAATAAACATCCTTTGCTTCCACAGTCTCTCTATCTCATTTGTTAAGAAAACTAGCTGGAGCACTGTTGTTAGGAGAATATCGGTTAACCGTTGCTTTTCACTGTGCTAGAATAAGTAGTTTTGTAATCCAACAGTCCTACTCGCATTAACTGTCCTACAAACCAACTATGGAAAGCTACTTAAATTCCATTAAACCGGTTGAACTGAAAATTGTCTCACCATGACATGGTTATGGTGGACTTTGCTCAAATTGGCATCTTTACTAAATTTTTTTCGCTCCATGAAATGGTTTATTATTTATAGGGATTTTCTACTGGGCTATAATTTATTTCATCGTAGCTCATTATCAATCTTTCCTTCTTTATGGTTAAATCCAAATTATAAAAGAGGATGAGCTTAAAATTTATTGAAATCAACTTTATCATCATCATAAAGTTTTTATCTGATTGAGTATTTTATGGAGCTGTGCAAAATAGTTGTAAAGGTTGTTTTAACTTTTGTTTAATTAAAGTTAAGGGACAAATAAAACTGAACTTAACGTCCAAAATTTAATCTGATTAAAAATAAAGCAAAATCTATAAAAATACCAAAGATTTCTTAATATCAATACTTGAGCTGTCACCTTTGTTTTGGTTGTCACTATAACGCTAGACTAAAAATGTTGTTTTGACTTATTTTCAGTATTTAGGTCTACATTACTTTCTTCTTCATGTCTACTTTGACATGTTTTAAATGTAGAATCTTCTCTAGTTTATTATAGGTTACTCCTTCAATAGTTTACTACATTTTTTAACCATTTTCTTAGATGAAAACTGACTAAAGATATTAAGATCAAGAATAATTCTAACGATAAATTCATCAAAATCGTGAAACATTTCCCCCTATATACCTGATGATTGCTTCTAAATCAGAATCCAGGAATTATTGAAAAAATGTCCAGCTTTTCTTGTTTCTTTATTTATATTATTAATTTTTTTGTTAACAATGAGCTCTGGGCTGGTTTGAAAAAATTATCACGGCTAACTGGACGTATTGACGTATTGCTCATCTATTTGTTTTATGGCAAAGCTCAAAATGTTTTATTTCCTGGATGGAAATTCGTACAAGAGGGTTTTTAATGCACAGCTAGGATTGATTTAAGGTATTCACGGTACAGCTTTACTCGATAAAATGTATTCCCTGCACCCGAAAAATCCAGAAGCTGTATCTATAAGATAGCATCTTCAATGCTAGTAATCGGATACACTTCTGATAATGTCTAGTCAAAATCTTCCTAGGGCTTCGATAGAAAAACAAAAGCTTATTGTCACACCATCAATGCCAATATCCTCCAAACAAAAAACATAGCAGTGACATTCGCAAAAATAACAGGACTTCTGAAATGTTGCTCCCCGTAAACAAATATGCGAATAAATCAATTCGCTACTGGCAACATATGGCCTGAACTTTTGGAACACCTTTATAGAGTTTATTAAAGATTACACGTGTGCTTTTAATATTTTCACAATTGCAGGACTCTTCGTAACTTGCTATTTGTTTAAGGCTTGATCCTTCTAAAAACTAAAGGTGATATAAATGCCGGAAGGCTGCAACGGCGGCGCCAGCCACTAAGCTCTGGGGGAACAAACCAAAATTATTTAAGCCACGCCCTTTTAACCACCAGAAAACGCCCTTTTACCAACAGAGAATGCCAATTTTATCCGAAGGAACGCCTATGACTAAATTTTGTTTGAAAATTGGCAGTTTTAAAATCATAGGATTACATCATAAAAAGTACTGTGTCAAAATATTACCCCTCCCCCAACATTTTCGCGTCGAATTTACAAATAAAAAATCGAAATACAAAATCGATTCTTCTGAGAACTAGGGGGACGTGTTCCCCCCCCCCAGTCCTCCCCGTGGCGCCGCTACTGGAAGGCTGATATGGACTGAAAGCCCTGATATCTATTATTTACATACCCTTTTAGCTGCTAAGAAACCCCCCGTCTTGTCAATGTTCTGTACGAAAAACTTCCGCACCATGTGCCTTGTAAACCATGACACCTGAAAGTCTAATTACCCTCCCATTATCGCGTATTTATCTCTCCCTCTTATTACTTTAAACCCAGCTCTTGCCTTTGAGTGAAGCAAAAGTACGTTATCACGATATAGTGCGATAAAGTACGATATAGTACATTATCATGCAGTAACAAATAAATAGGATACCGAGATGCAATGCATAGATCCTTTTAATACAACATGGTAACGTTATGTTTTAGGATACCCTATCTATGAATTCACCTCAAGTGGAATGACTCACACATGCTCAGTTCCAAAGCCAAAAAAACTCTGCCAATGGTTTATTAAGTAAGTTAAGTCCAATAGCAATTAATCTCAGAGTGTGGCGTGAGTCGATACTAACAATTAACAATATGGAGTGAAATTGTTTTGTTTATTACTTATATTCTTTGTATAGGTGACGAAAGCACTGGCTAAACTTTAAGTTATAAAACACAAAAAGCTTTTTAACTTTTAAATACTTGTTACTTTACAGAGTTATGTAGACTAAATACATATAATTTCAATAGTTAATTCACTATTTCGCATTTCACAAAAGGTGTGTGTCAAAGATCCTTAACTTTGACCATCAATGATTGTTTTTGTTTACTGATTTTGAAATTAGGTTTCGATACAAATTTTTTCATCAACTGCAGCATATGATACATCGGAAACATGGGAAAAAGCATTGATCACACTTATCCTCTGTCAAAAGTGTTTTCTATAAGTCTTAGAATTTAGTCCTATGCTGCTTAGAGCTAATGTCCTATAGCTCTAAAATCTTACTAGCAAATCCTTTTAGGATTGTCAGTTTGACCATTGTTTTACAATTGATATCCCTTTTATATGTAAATACTCATATTTCCCAAGCAATTTTGCAAGTTTATACATTTCATGATATGTTAATGCTTTTACAAAATCCTTTTATGACATTCTTAATCAGTGCATTGTATTATTTATCCTTGACCTGAAAAACATTGCTAGGTCGACAATTTTATTCCTTGACTTGAAATCTGTGCTGAATATGAATATTAATGTTAAATTGATTGATTAGAAGACCAACAATAAAAAGGATTGACCGATTGGTCGATTCCTCGTCATTATTTTCAAAGAGCATGTGCAGTGATTTGGGATAGCCAGCAAGGACCGCGGAGCATATTACAGATTGAGGGGGCTAAAACGTTTTTCGGGGGGCTAAACATGCAAAAAACAAGAGCAGGGTGATTTTTGTATGGTTTTAAGTACATTTTTAAATTATTGGTGGGGGGGGGGGGGCTAAAAACCCCTCAGTCCTTCTGCTTCCGCTGTCACTGATAGCCAATACACATGTCTTGTGTGTCTACTAAGCAATGCTTTTATGCTATTCGATTAAAGTTATTAGTTATTATAAAATTTAAAGTTATTAAAAGCAGACTTATCCAAATATTTATCAATGATTTAAGGAAAAATGATGCAATTCAACAAAATTCCAAGTAGCTGACCACAGCAACGAAGGGATTTTCGAAGGAGTTTTCTAAATTGCAAATTATCGCAAAAGGAACACTTACAATGCTTCATAATAAGAACAATTTTTTGAAATTTTAAATTGATGTACAAAAGAGATTTTTTTAAAACAAAGAAAGTAGTGCTAAGAAATAATTTTAAAATTACCTTAAAACTTTATTTAAAATAAATAGTCGATAGTCATAATAATCGGTAATAATTTAGACGCTTTTTTAATGATATTTCGATACTGATAAACTCTTAAAAATTAAACAACCCTCTCACCTTTATTATTGCATTACAGCCATTCCATAACTAGAATATCTTAGATGTTAATTTATTTTCTTTTTAGAAATGTGGTTGCATCATGCTTTAGAGTCACTAATGTTGTAACAGAAATCAACTACGGATTAATAAAAATCGACTGGAATGCCAAACCAGTAAGTTTTAAAGCATGAATTATTCCAGTTAATCCTGACTTTTTTCATCGAGTTGTCAATTTAACACTCAACTTTATGTATTTTCCCTATTATATAGTGTTAGCCATTCGTTTTCCGTTGGTCTTATGCCTATGATTCACTTGTTCACCCCATCAATGCAAAATAACTCTAGACATGTTTTCATCCACAAATCTTTCCCGTCAAGGATAGGTTCCGTTTGTCCAAAGGTACAAACCCCCTGTAAACGAGCCAGCAGAATTAGTTTGAAATATGTGGTATATAATGATTTGATATATTGTGCATTATTTTTTCATATTCGACTTTGTTTATCACATCGCCACACAATCCATCTGAGATACAAAGTTAAAGAATCATTGCTAACAATGAGCCATTGCTCTACGCAAGCATCCCATAATGCATTTTCAGACAGTCTGAAATCAATTATGGTTAATCAGTAGAAGTTTACTGCCATTGCTTGGATTGTCGCCTGGATAATTTGCCAACCTCGCAAAGGCTCATTGTTAGCAATGAGTCTTTAATTTGAGCAATCATATACGCAATATAAGCAGTATTTGGATTTCTATTAATCACATATTTAAATAAAAACAAAATTTCTGAAATACTTTTCTCTCTACCCATGGCTGATGTTGCTATCATTCAACTCCTTCTATTAATGAGTCCCCTCAGTCAATGGCGGCGCCAGCCACTAAGCTCTGGGGTGGACAAACCAAACAAATTTAGGCCACGCCCTTTTAACCACCAGAAAACGCTCTTTTACCAACAGGGAACGCCAATTATATCTGAAGGGAACGCCTATGACAAACTTTTGTTTGAAAATTGGCAGTTTGAAAATCATAGGATTACATCACAAAAAGTACTGTGTCAAAATATTACCCCTCCCCAACATTTTCTCATCGAATTTAGACGTAATACAAAATCGATTCTGCTGAGAACTGGGGGGGACGTGTCCCCCCAGTCCCCCCAGTCCCCTTCAGTCCCCCCCCCCCCGTGGCGCCGCTACTGCCCTCAGTCAACCGTTCAAAGTTTGACTGACGGGACTCAACCTGGAAAAATCGAGAATTAGACGATGGGATACGTGACAATAGGTCTATTGTGTAGTCCAACCAATAGGAAATTTGAATGGCCAGCGAAATGCGTCGGGAAAAATTGCCTTCAAATAGATTAATACATTTTTTTATACTTTCACTTAGAAAAGATCTTTACATTTCTCAGAACTAGCTTTTTTGCATAAGTCGCCAAGAATTGATAATTGGTAGGTGTGAAGTGGGGTCATACAATATGTTGCTATTCATCTTGCTGGTTTTTATTTATCCTTTGAAAAGGTGTATACGTTGCCACTGATTAAGTTTTCCTTTAGGTTCAAATTGCATTGGAGATTCATGGTGAAAATGAGAAATTATCGTCTATAGCAATTCCCTTGAGCGATCTAGAAAGGGTAAGTAATATTGGCATATTTCGTCATTTTTACATTAAGTGGGGTCATCGAGGGGGTATTAATGCGCTATCCCACGCAATTTCAAGTGGAACACAGCCGTTCTGGACATTTTAGCCAAATCCAAAAATTGCTGATAAATGCTGCTGTCCAGAAAAACCAAGATTTGACTAGGTAATTTTTTATAAAATGTGAAAAATTCCACTAATCGTTTAAACGTTATTAAAAATTCTGTATCCAGTATCTATTATTTTTTGAGAAATTCTGCCTCCGGCAATTGTGGAAGTTTCTATCGTTTTCTTGCCAATTTGCCCAAATTTTTTCCGCATTTACACTTAAACTGGATTTATAAACAGTACTCGTGCGTCCACTGTGAAACCATGTTTAGCCCAATCTACGTCATATCAGGACCTTGTTTTGATACTCGGGTAAAGTAAGACAATGTCGAGTACTATACATATGTGCGGGAAATGCTTGTTAGAGGTTAACCTTGTCCAAGGCCAACAACATCTCATATGGTAGGATAACCATTACCTTTCCTTGCTGTCTTTAGCCCCCATCCCCCTCCCCTCCATTGTTGACACTGGATACTTATTTGCTACTTGAAAGACATGAGACGTGCTTTCATTTATAAATTGCCCCCAACATTCAGCACCAAACGTTTTGGCCCCTTCGCTTTTAGGAAGTACCTGACCGTATTTTGTCCTGTGTGATAGAAGCTGTTGTCTTCTGGTCGTAGTTTCTTAATGGCCGGGAGCGAAGGACGGCAGACTGTAGGGTATGCTCTGAAGAAACGTATATGTTAGAAGTTTTTGTCTTCTGGCTGTAGTTTTCTTGATATTTGTTCAGGGTTTGCTCTAGTAAATTGTAAGTCACATTTGCCTTATTCAGCTTCAACTTTTCCTGACCTCTTTAAGCACTTTTCATATTGAATTTTGCTATTAAAAACAGCATATATCTGTTTTTTATTTAGAAAATTACCCCGGCTAGCTGTCCCGTGACCGTTGAGCAGCCAAACTGGTACTGGAAGCGTGTATTCTGGGCATCAGTCATCATCCTAGGAGTTGTTGCAGGCCTAGCTGCACTATGGTAAGTTCGCCAAAATATACTGTATATTTGCACTCTTCAAAGGGACGTGGTTACTTCATCATCACACATCTCTCTTATTATCAGATATCTCCATTAGAAACACTAGCAGTAGCTTACGCAAAGTGACAAGATTGGGGCCTCTAGTGCAGATTTTGGTGGTAGTAGCAATTATTCATTTCAGTAGCAAAGATTAGGGGCAAAGTAGCAAAGATTAGGGGCAAAGTAGCATAGATTAGGAACTTGGTTGTTGTAGCAAATATAGTAACAAAGATTAGGGGCAAAGGCTACTGGAGCAAATCTAACAGAGTGGTCTGGGGAAAGATTTTTTTGACAACAAACTTTTTGGAAACTGTTAAATGCTTCTTTTTGTAAATTTATTTGAATGGGTTACTATCTAAATTCTTGCCCCCCCCCCTTAGCGACGCCAGTGAACTCCAGAAAACCTATTTCCAAAAACTAAGAAGCCATTTATCGATGTAATATTTTTCTATTGAACAATTTTCATCATTGCTTAAAAACAGGGATTGCTTTCGTCTCACCTCCCCTAACAATTTGCAAAATGAACTTGAAACCATACAAAAAATTTTCTTGTTCGTATTAAACTTGAGACTTTGAGTTATAACTTAGAACCGTCTTTTTCTGTACACTAAAAGCGTATTACGTCTACTCATGAATGTTGCAGTTTATCATTTTTTCCGTTCCATTTCAGGTTGTCTATAATTTCTTGTCGATGGTTTGTAAAAGAAGTTCTCAAAGATATTGACGTTAAGATAAAAAATGGCATGGTAAAACTTAGGAAAAAGAATAAAGTGAAACATGATTAATAGCTTATTTTATTAATTTTAGAAGGAATTCTTAAAATGAACATCAAAACTGTTAGAGAATGTTTAACCCAATTGACGTAATAGAGCACCGAAGTGTGACGTCACCAAAAATGACTGTTGACTGAAAAATGAAAGTTGACTGATTTTGCATATTTCATGAGGTACTTCATGATTCTCTTTGAGGTTATAGGATCAAAATTCAAAAATTCTAAAAATAGATTTTTGTGACGTCATCATTTCTGTGCTCAATTACAGACCTTGTTCTAGGTGTTCTCCTTTTGCTAGTTATTGCATTCTTCCTCCCGTCACGACCGTCCCGTCCAACAAAAATGCCTCCACACAGTGTTACTGAAACAATAGTATGTTGGAAACTGTCTCTTCAAATTTGTTCCAATTTACTGAAAACTGTTGATAATGAGAATATCCAACCCAACAAGCGAGAACTGCGTGGACTGTGTACCCCTGCTTCAAACACCGATAACTATGTCAGCTGAGATTATGATTGGGAAAAACATATCCTAAGTAATTCGTTCGAAATATTACTCTTGTGCTGCAATTGCTGTTAAGATTTTACCTCTAGACGGGTAGCTGGGCAAAAGAAATTTGCTTCGTCATTATTATTGTTTTTATTCCTTTGAAATAGGCCTTAGTGCTTTAACCAATTACAAAGCAGCAAACTATACTGGAAATTAGCCAAGGCCCATCTTAGTACAAAGATTTTCAATTTTGAAAAAGTAATTCGTAATATTAGGTATGGAATTAGCAATTTAGTTTATTTCAATTATTTTAATGAATGTTACTTTTGCAAGTTATATTTGCTTCTTGTTTCACGTGATATCTTGAGTATTCGTGCATGTTAAGAAATGCAGATTCACTCCCATGGGGGAGTCCTTGCATCCCCTGGCAATTAGACAATAGTTTCACCTCCCAAGGGATGCAGATGGATACTGCTATAGATTTCCGTTTGTAAAAGTGATGCTGCTTCTCAAGGGCTAGGCCTTCTTGGTCCTTCAGAAAGCGATCAAAAATCAACAGAAAGTTATGGGGAAAGAGTGCGAAAAGGTAATTTTTGACAGTAATTTTAATGTTAAGCATGTTTTAGTCAGCTTTATTGCTTTTTATTTAACATAACCGTATACAGTAACCCCAAAACAGACGTGTTTCAAGTCAATCTAAGCAGAAAGCAGGCACCAAGCGTTTCTTGTGGAAAATTCGCAGAAGTATAAAAAATAATTCGTATTTTTAAGTCGCTTTGATGACAACTATCATAGAAATTGCGCGTGGCATGAACGGAGGCTCTGAATGAAAAGCACGAGAATGACTCAAAAATTCAAACCGAGCTTTGTCGAGAAAAATGTGCAGAAATACAATGATACTATTAAAATGTCAGTCAAGAGCAGATTTTAGAATCTTTCAGTCAAGAGTCTTTTTGCTTAGTACACGAGTTCGCAAGTACAGCCAAAGCTAAAGATTGTTTTTGGCCTATGTTGCAATTTGTTGATGTTTTCCAAAAAAAATTGATTGTAGAATATTACTATTGAATAACCAGGGTTTTCCTGCTTTTGAAAATGATAATAAACACATCTCTTTAATTCACGCTTTCAAAGTGGAAATTCCTCGGGATAAACAGATTTTTGGGTTACAGGTGGTACAAAATATTTGAACGGAATTTCTGCCTTTCTTGAGAAATCTAAAAGACCACTAACCGTAGTTAAGTTTTTATGATCGCATAGACTCATAGAGGGTACCCCCATTTTTAGTGTTGCATTAGTTTTCACTCTACACGTGGTGTTGGTCGATCAAATCAGGGTTTAGGGGGTCTTTCTAGATTTAGAGGGCGAAGGGGGCCCCATGCGTTTTTCTGGCTATTTGTCCATATTCTTAGAGCTGTATTATAAAACTTTTTATTGTATTTGCAGAAAAATGATATATATACTCCGTGTAAAGCTAGTATCGTCGGACAATTCACATTTTCATTAAGTTGAGGTGTGTAGAGAAAAATTCTGCAGAAAAGAGTATTCACATTCCGTTTTGGAATTATTCTGTCATGAATTCTTCATTCCTCTTTGCTAAAGACAGTGAGAAAGACAGTGATTTGAAGTAGTGATATAACGGTGATCATTTTAAAAGACAATTTTAGATAAAGTGTTGCAAAAGAGTCCTTGTGCATTGAAAATAGTCCATTGTATCCTCACCTTAGGCGTACATGAAGATCTTTGTAAAGTCTACGAGACAAAAAGTAAGATTGTAGTGAACTTTCAAGTTTGTATGGAACATAACTGCAGTTTGGGGATGTTGAGATTGGTGGGCTTAATGTCGAGAAGTAAACTCTTTTTAACCAGTAAGTTTCAGCTCAAGCTGACCGTTCTTACTTTTTTAAACTGGATTATTCTTAATTTGTTCTTAAATCATTAGGTTGTAAGCAGTGCTATTTTCAGCAGTTTGAAGCAATGAAAAAAGTGCAGCCTTTATCTTCTTTTTCCTATTGTTTTTGATGAATATCCCTTCTTTGGATATAAGACCCCATTTTAATCGACTGCAAACATTACTTCCATAAATTAAAATACTTCTTATATACAATTAAAAAGGTGCATCAATACTCAGAGGCCGCTGAAGCGGGTGGTCTACGGGGCTTTAGGCCCCCCCCCCATAATTTTTTTTTTCAAAATGTACTTAAAACCATACAAATGTACTTAAAACTATACTTTTTGCCATGTTTAGCCCCCAAAATATTTTGGCCCCCTCCATCAGTAATATGCTCCGAAACTTCTTAACCCCAGTCTTTTATCTAAGTCTTTTGGCTCAACGGACTTTGGCAACATTTTGTTGTCATGGGGGAGGGGGAAAGCATTTCTTTAGGGTTCCCTAAGCCCGTCAAAACAGTGCATTTTTATCACCTTGCAGAAAAGTATCTTGCAAAATATTGCCATCTTGCAAAATGAAGGCGGTGTTTTATCGCAAAAACTGTTGTCAATAATGCGTAGCTTGCGAGCCCTGTACAAAAACAACACTTACCGCTGTATTCAAGCTCGCTACCCACAGATTCAAGCTCTTCTAGAATTCCATTGAGTTCATCGGTCGTCAGCTTCACGCTGAGGTTTTCAAGGACGCTTTTCAGATCAGAAACCGTGATTTTATCGTTTCCAGATTTGTCGAAGGCCTTGAAAGTCTCTTTTGTTTCATCATAAGCATCCTCTGACTCGCCTGAGTCTCCTGACATTCTTTGCATAAGGACACAGAAGTCGTCGAAATCGATCTCACCTTGTCCTGTTGACCAAGGGCAGAAATCGTAAAGGCATGGCCCGTTGAAAATTGCGTATCATTCAACAAAGTATATCGTGCTCTTATAGAGTACCAAAGTGATGAAGTCATAAAATATATAGTTAGAATTTTTTAAATTTGATCCCAGAACCTGAAAAAGCATCTTGAAATACCTCTTAAAATACAAAATCAATTGAATGCATTGCAAATTGACTGAGATATGAACACATGAGCGCAGGTTCTTTCCCCATCAAACCACTGTAATTTGGTCTAGGTTCATAACTTGGCCTTGGTTATGAACCAGGCGAGAATGACGAGAATTCGTTGGCCATATCTCGCCATATCTTAGTTACTGATTTTGCACATTGTGAGGTATTTTATGGAAACTCTACGCTAGGAAATATATCACAAATATTGGCCTACCCAATCGTTGATCGAAAAAGGTCAATAAGAAACGCGAGCATATGACTGGTGAGGTTACCCAATCAGTGCCGCTTGCCTTTTGAAAATGTTACCAAATGGAGTCCTTTATATTATGTTTCTTAGCGTAAAGTTTTTGAACCATGTTCTGGCGTTTTATATTATGATAAGTATCAGATGAAAAGCTTTGATTACATGTTTCGAAATGTTTTTCTTTTTCAAAGCTATTTTTCAATTTGGTACTTCAGAAAGATTGTTTAAAAATGGAAAAACCTCAACATGACCATGATGCTACGATAGCATGACATCCTCTCAATAGCATGACAATACTACGTCACCCTTAGTACGTCATAGTCTGCACGTCATAGTCGCAACGAATACCGACCTTTTGTGTCGACTTCTTGAACCATGCTTTTGATTTCAGCCTCTGACGGGTTTTGCCCAAGACTTTTCATGACGAGGCCAATCTCAGAAACTGTGACAGTGCCGTCGCCATCTTTGTCGAAGACCAAGAAGGCCTCGCGGAATTCTGTATGAAAATTTGTAAAACATTTGAATTATAATTATGATAAAAATGATAATAATTTATTTATACACAGTAGGCATTGTTTGCAATAGTAGCTAAAAGGTAATTAAAGCCTGTTATTTATAGGAATAAAACTAGGAATAATCTAGGAATATGAATAATGTAGGGATATTTTCTACAAAATGATGGATACGTAGTGATAAGCAAGAACAAGCTTTGCTAAAGTATCGTGTACAGGACGAGCTTTCTAACAGTTTTTTCGCCGAATACACGCCTGTGTTTGGAGCGCCATAGAACCGGCTTATGCCTCTCCTCAGAAACGTTTGCAACGCCCTTTTTAGAATTCCATTCAGCTTTGCAAGCAGAGTTTCTAAATATGCGTTGTCTTTCAAGTGGCATTTTTAAGGAACCAAGTTTTGGTTTGAAAACGGCAGGGAGGGCATCAAATGATTAACTTGAGACAATAGATGAAAAGAGCCTTGACCTGGTTTAGACAACGCCGTAAAAAGGGTAAAATCTATGTTACTTCGCCATGTCTCCTGACATCTATCCTGAGAGATTACAAATTATCCGTGTACAGAAATTAAAGAGACTTGAGCATGACGGGAAGGCTTAAGGTATTTGCATTAATAAAATAAGGGATAATCTAACGACAACGTGGGCTACTTAATTAGTAACAATAGAGTTAAAGTTTCTTACCTTTAATCTGTTCTTCTGAAAGTTTCTTGCTCTAAAACAGGTAAAAAATGAATTGCTCTTTATAAGTAGAACGGGTATCACAACTACAATATATTAAAGAGTGTTTTGTATGTGAAAGAAAGAGAGCGTGTGAGTTGTAAAATTTAAACATAAGTTAATTGAGGTTTCCTTCACCAGAAACTCTCTTTTACAAGAGCTACTTTCTATATCTGATAGAGTGATAGGGTGATAGGGTGATAGAGTGATAAATTAAGAGAGTGTATCCCTTCACCCCCAAAACTGCCACAAATGTCTTGGTGTCTGTTCAGTTCATTTCAAAGGTATGTAGGTCTAAGATTAAGCTTAACTTACAATTTTAATCTAAAATTACATTAAAATCCAAAATTATTTGCAGAGTCTAATAACAATATTACAAAACGGCTTTAAATCTAAAAAAGAAAAGTACAGAATTACTTAGAAACATTCAACGGAACAAGAAAGTACCCGGGGTGCCGTTCTAAAAATTTAGGAAGGGGGCTATGCTGTAGGCAAATTCAAGAGGCCACACCCTTAGCACACCCAACGTACTTGCAGCCAAAGACTCTCCGTTGCGTGTAGGAATCATTCAAACTATTCAACGACACAAGAAGACGAATTTGCTCATTCTTGACCAATTTATGGTAAAATAAGGTCAAGCCCCCCCCCCCCAATCAGCGATGTCGTCGGAAAATTCGGGCTTTCGTCGGATTATTGACCACCGTTTAGCGTGTCGAAATTGCTCCAAGAAATCGTTCTGAAAAGGAATTTTAAGATAATCTAAGGGGCGTAATTGCCAAATTTTCTGCTCGCTTCGCTCGCAGGTGACCCACGTTTCCTTTTTACCACAGGGGCCTCTATAACCTCTCTGTGCCCTTTTTGCAAAATTTGAACATAGCATAGCTCATAAAATATCAGCCAGTCCCAAATAATCAATCAAACAATATATGACCAAAATCAAAACTGCTTGTGAATTGTATATTTAATTTAAATTCCGTAAAGATTAGCCAAAATTTCCATCGGATTCTTCTGAACAAAAGTTTTTTTCAAACGTATTTCTCACTGACAAAAACAAGATAAAATGCATAAAATGAACGTACGAGTTGTCAAAAGTGTAATCGTTCTACCTCTTGTATCACTAATTGTCTTAGATGAGATATCGATCTTGATATCAAAAATAAAAAATGGATTGTTCTTCTTGCTACTTAATTATGGCGTGGTCAGCAAAGATTTCTAAAGAGTCCCGTCAAAAAATCAACTATTTTTATCAAAATGTGCAGTTTCTTTAAAATTATACATGGTCCGTGATGTTATCTTGTCGGAAAATCGTAGGCCTGGGTCCCCCCAAGTGAAAGCTTGAATTTCCGTCACTGCAAGCAACCATCCTCATCCAGTCTTTTATACTTTACTGCAGCGAGAACCGCTTCCTGTTAGAAATTTCCTCAAATTCCACACTTTGTAATTACAGCATTTTATTCTTAACGATTGGAAAGTTTCCTTTATGTATGGCTGCATGACTATTTCATGCTAGTACAATGCTTAAAACTTATGTATCGGGTAAATTTGATTTCATATGCTTTTAATTGATTTATTGCCCAGCAGAACGCCTTAAAATGAAGAACACCTTGCTAAATGATAGAAATCTTATAATGATCATGTCATGACAAAGGTTTTTTGTAATCACATCTGAGCCAATCCCCTTACAAAAATTCTTTGCAATTCTTTGAGTTTTTTAACTGACCGATCTGGTATTATCATATATATCAAGTAGAGTACGATGAATCCAGGCGATATTAGCGATAATTAACAATATTGACCGAGTGAAAATTTTGTTCAAAAGACAAACAAATAGCAAAAAGTATCCTTGATACTGAAAGTAAAAAATTATAACAGGCATTTAAGCACAGATACCTAAAATGGAATTTTTTTCCTATTAACTAGGTTTTCCTATCAGCTACCCCTTGCTATCAGTCGATTACAAAATATCACATATGATGCATAGACATCCTGCTGATTTGTTAAAGTTAATAAAATATTGGTATAGTACAATCCGATTTTCAAAGGAGCATATGGCAAAATTTTTTCCCTTTTAGTACACAAATGTTGCACCGCTCTTTTCAGTTCCAGGACATTCTCTCCCGCTGAACTCAATTCACGTAACAACTGCTCAATACATTTCTTTTGGAATACACCATAGGAACTTATATTCAAGACAAATTGAAAAAATTTGAAAAACTTACCATTTTTATGAATTTTCGATCAAACAGGAGCAAGATTGTGTGCTAATGTCTTGGAAGCAAGATAAGACAGACGTGGTAAGGAGATTCGGACTTCTGAATAATAAAGATCATTATTTGTTGCAAGTTTTCAGGGGGTCAGCGTATGTAAGTAGCTTTCTAATATGTTGAGTGTTCTTAACGATAGAATCGTAGGGTGTGTCTTCCTTTTAATAAGGCGCTCGGTCTTATATCCTTTTGAATACTGCAAAAATGTTGCTTACACTTTTGATTACACTACGATTTAGATCTCATGAAATGAGACAACTTTGGAAAAACAATCGGAGGCTGAAACCTGTAAACAGAATCGTGCTCAGTGTCTCGTTATTGGGCATTTTAGGCATAGTAAGGAACAATATGTTGTTCTATAGTGATAAATTGGTGGATGAAATGATATTTAGTTGCATTGTTCTGTAAACATACTCGTGATTTACCTTTGTATTGTAAACAGCTGATTCGAATGGCCAAAAAATCTTTTTGTCCTACAAATTGGCGGTATAAGCATTATAATGCCAATTGTTCTTTTAACCAACTATAAGAACAATGTGGATCAGTCTACCAGCAACATACAAGGGCAGTGCTATAGGAAGGATAGAATTTTTGGGGGGCACCATTGTCCGGGGAACAATAGAAACAGAAGGGATTGTTCATTGAAAAGAAAAGATTAAGAATTTTTGGGGGGCATGGGCTCCCCCCAAGAGCAATAGTAGCTACTGAGTGCATGTCTCTCCACCTCATCGGTGGGCATATAATTTTGATCCTGAACCCTGAAACATATTTGTTTTTGGATTGGTTTTCAATCTTTGCTCTTAATTACTCAAACTAAGGTCACTGATCAAATGTTATATACATTTTCACTTACTTCTAATGACTTAAAGTCTTGTGTAAGGTTCTTGTTTTACATCATTGGTTAACTAACACCACAGGCTAATTTAATCCTGTTTTCTAGACTTTACAAAAATAGTCACCTAATCGGTTTCTAGCAATTTGTTAGTCTAGAGCTCAAAAATTTTGATTTCCAGGGAACCATCATATCACCACAACCTTCAAGATTAACTTCAAATAATAATTAAAATTGTTCAAGACATTTGGTCACTTTAAAAATAAAGGCAAGCATAATGAGTGTGCTAAAGTCAGTGGCCTTAGAAAGTTGCATTCTGGTGACTTTGGCAATAAAACTCTCTTCAACATATGGTCTTTCAGGGGTGTGGCATTTTCGTAACCATGGGTACACCCGATTTTACAGGTCCATGTCTCAAGATTGTCCAGAATTCTCCGTGCAGTTTGAATATAGTGTGCGGTTTTGCAAAAGAGTGCGTTCTCCAGGGGCTTATTCACAAATAGAGACATCATTAGAAATGGAAATCAAAAAGGGGGGAGGGGTGTTTAGGTCTGTCACTGCTAGGCCTATTCGCCCATCAAAGTGAAAAATATGCCACCTTACAGCAGATTACTTTTTTGACATGGGTAACATGTATTCTTTCTGATTGCGACATGCAAGTTTTTAGGCATGCTTACCGTTTTTTGATTGAATAGGAATTTGAAATAAAATCACGATTGTCAGGAGGCTGAGCGTTTGTTGTTGCCTTGACAACGCCTGACTTTGCTGATAATGGGAGTAAGGCTTATTTCCTTTTCCACGAACAAACAATAATAAAATATATACTTAGTATTTCAAGTATAATCGACACTGCTTGTATTATATTCTATTTCTTTAACTGCTGGGGTTTTTAACCCTAAAAAAGTAATTTTGGTTTTTTAAACTTCAATAGGCGAACAAACATTGTTAGCCATATTTGGATAGCGTTCATTGTTTTTCTGAAAGTGAATTCTTCAATGCAAAATAATATTTGTCCAAATCCTTAGTTCACCACTTTCAACTGTACTTGTTCGTGCATGCTAAATTTTTTCATCTGCTTGGATAGACAAGCCCCCGTTTCAAAATGACAATACAAAGAGGTTTTCCGCCGACCTATAAATTACCATTGACACAAGCCAGCCTTAAAGAAGGAGCGATTTTTAACGAAAATTTTGTTAAATCGCAAGTTTTGCTTACGATAATGGTCACTACAAACAAACAGCACATGTAAACAAGAATAAACCAAGTGCTGGGTAGAAACAGGCGATCTCCGAGGAGAGGGTTTTGCACAACAGAGCACAAGTGTTGGTCCCTTTGGCCAAGACAATGAGAAAGCCACTTTTTCAAAGAGACTTTAGGGCAAAGATTAAATAATCTCTGCTTTCTATAATTTCAGATTATCCCTTTGAGAAATATGCGTCAGTTCTCAGAGCAACAGCATAATAATTATTTGTCTCTTTACATGTCCAAAAAAGGTACCTAAATTAGAAGCCATAATTTCTTTCTCGCCTCTGGTAGATTCAAATGATCACAAAATGAGGCCGAGAAAATTTTCCTCCTTAACTGCAATTTACTGTTATCACTGCTCGGTTGTAGAAATCGTTTCAAAGCAAAGCTGGATTCTTTGCAGTTATTTAATGCTGAGTAGGGTGATCAGAACATTTAAAACAATGCTATACGGCACATCATAATATGGTTCTGAATTAAAAATCTGCAAAGGCATTGCTAAACGGATTGAAAAACAAAAGCATTGCCAATGGATAAGGTATAAATGCTAAACACGCCTGGATAAGAGATAAGGTTTACAAAAACTTTGTATCTTCGTCGAACAAATGTTGCTTTCTTAAGACAGAAAATCTTTTATAGACAAATATTTTGAATTAATGGAAAAGGAGGGCTGTTTTGGTTGCATTGATTTCTTGAAGGCTGCGTACACATAAACAGAAGAATTATTCTATGAAGATGGTAAATAAGCTGCTTGTTTGTAAAAATAGTAGTCCCATAACGATGAGTAGTTCATCTGTTTCTACGGACCTCGAATCCAAGAGGCGCTTCTGCCATGTTGTTACCCTGGGTACCAGAGCCGCAAAAATTAAAAATAAGCTCTCTCATTATTTTTTGCTGCGGTTAAATGTTTGCGGTCATGGTACCCAGGGTACCAAGTTATTTGTAAATGGCTCCTTTGGTGTTGTAAAAAACATTCCTAAGAGTTCATTGTGGTGTCAATAATGTGGCTTTGTTTCTAGAATATCCAATACAATTGAAATTTTTGTACGAAAGGCAAAGCCGTTCCAGGGATTACAACTTTCACTTAAGGCTAATGAAGATATTTTTCATTTATTATCATACGCTGACTGAGAAAAAAGCCAGACTGAAAATGCAAAACAAATCTAGTTCTTCCTCATCAGAAGGAATAATATAGGCTCTATATGGTCGAAGAAGTTTGTAAGACTACCAAAAGGCTCGATCCGAAAACAAGCAGGAAGGCTAGATAAAACAATTTTCAAGGTATGCGCAGATTATTAATTCAGTATCTGACATGGCATGGGAAAGTTTATTCAGATAGTTATTAGAGCAATAAAATTAGCCTAATTTCGTTGGGTCCAATCGTTTTCCCTGCAAAAGTTAACTGTTTACACAGATGGCAAATGTTGCGGAGTGAAACATTCAGGAACGTCGGAACGTCCAAAGGGCTAGGGGACAGGCTTCAGTAAAAGGGCATTTGAAAAATATTTCCAGCCTTTCTAAGCCAGCCAGCCTAATTCTTTCATGACTGTTATATTATTTCGATCTTCTATAGGCATCCTGAAAACTTATGGCATAAGAAATTTTTTTAAAAGTTTTGAGAAATATCGTCATGAATAAGGCACTAAAATAAGAATTTCGTAAGACAATTACAAATTACAATAAAATCTTTGACAATTACAAAAAGCTGATTTCAATGGTATATCTATAAAAATGGCAATTTGGCACCCCTGGCCCCTCCAATCAAAAGGTAAGAGGGGCGTTTGCCCCCCCCCGCATCTTCTCGGGCGTTCTGGAAACAGGAGCGGCGAAGCAAAGCAGAAATTGAATCCTTGTGATCTTACCCAACAAAAATTTTTTTGATACTGGTCGTTTAAGATACAACAAGAATATAGAGAATGACTTGACCATATCATATTATAAAAACTATTAAGATATTAAGGATCTAACAAATTTACATTCTGCTAAGGATGGGTGCAATGTCTGTTTGCCTAGGGGTACTTTACAGAGTACATAATTTGCTCTGAGAAGATTACCTTTTCGATGTAAGTGAATGTTCTATACAAGTCCATAATGCTACTAATAAATTTCCCTTTGTCTTCTACTAACAGCTTCAGTTAGACTTCGAGCAGCTGACCATGAAAATTTTATTCGAGTTTATCCTTGAATGCTTCTGTATGTCTTGATTTCATCCAGCACATCTTGAAGTTCTTTGTCATCAAATCTTCCCTCTAAGCTACAAATGGAAAAATCTTTTTATATATCATAAAGTTTTTAAGCTGTTTAGAACACATTATTTATAACCTTTGTAATAAACTATAACCTAGTCATTTCATTCAGTGATTAATTTTATTAGGTTTTATCTTAGAAAATTCAGTTTTCTGTGATGCAAGACAGAAACAGGGATTCTTTCACTTTGTAAAGCTATACCTTGTTTAGCCATGTCCAAATATATTACTCCTTCTGTCCTACATTCTCTTTCGTTATTTCTTTTTTACTTACCACTATTTCATTCTTTTACAATAAATTGTGACATTTGTTGATTTTTCCATCTTTTTTCTCAAATTAAATCCTTCTTCTTAATCTCTTTATCTTAATTAACTATAGTTTTCATTCTCTACCTATTGAAGGTTGTTCAACATCTAGTCAATGCCAATGCTTGATCCAATAAAAGCCACTTAGCCAGGCAGCATCACCAACCAATCTATCATTAAATTGCATAGAGTAGCCCAACTAGGAAGTAAAATGCTGTCTATGTAAAAGTGACATAGCTAGTCAAGATACTTAATATAGTGAACTTCTCCCTCAGAGACATGGAAATCAGTGGCGAAGCCAGCTCGGGAGAGTTGGTCATGCACTTGGGGGAAAAAGGTCATGCAGGGTTTTCAACACCACAGCAAGGTACCCATTTCAAGTTAAGGTTAGATCAGTTCCCTTGAGAAAATTGATATCAGCTATTGTGAAAATACCAAGAAAAGTCCTAGATGGGCATAATACTGTTGATAATTTGCAAAAAAAGAATCCTCAGAACTTTCTATAGACATGTTTTGAAGAGGCCTTGGCTTTAGGTGTTTAACTTTAGGTGGTTTAGGTGTTAAATTCTGAAATTAAATTGTTAACTTGTTCTTAATGTTAACTTGCTTTGGAATCCTGTTATTCAATTTATTTATATATACCATTTCAAGAGCTGTTTGATTCATTTAATTAAACTGACAGATAATAAAGAAAGGCTTTTTTAGATAACATTATTTAGATTTTATTCTCACAACATCATATAAAGTGTTTAAATTATTTTGCTCTTATACATGACAAGATAAATACACTTTTGATGATCCTTCCCTATTTCCTTACTTAGAACTATTGTACTTACAAGTACAAATAGTGTTCTTTTTAAAAATAAAAAAGTCAATGCCTCTTAAAGGTTAATGCTACACTGCATTTCTTTAAATTTCTTTATTCTCAATTTGGCAAAACTGATTATAATCAGGAAATAGAGAGTTCTCCTCTGAAAAAATCTCAATACTTTTATTTCACACAACATCAATAACAAAAAAGCCATGATCAGATAAAGACTGAAAAGGTTAAGACAAAAGAGAGTTCTAATTTTGTGCCTCATTGTATCTCAAACTTCCATTGCATGTCTCTAACGAGCAACAACAATGGATCATTTGTGTTCCACTACCAACTTTTATTTATTTTGTGTCAATTCTGTAAAACCGTGAAACTGTTAACCTTCCTCATTTCTCTGCTGCTATATTTCTTGCAGGGTAACAATTCATGAAAACACTTTCCTTGTGAACTAGCATACTTCCTCTTTAGGCTCACTTTTTGAACTCGAACAGGGTAACAATGCAGTTGCTGGCATACAACAATCAAGGTCATGGTCATGCCATTCCAAAAATGCACGACTAAAACCTAATAATCATCATGTTTTCCAGGCTCTTTCCATTGTTTTGCATGACCAAACATAGGATTGACATTTGAAGGTACATGACTAAATTGGGATCCCTGTGATGTTTGCATGACTGAATTGGAAACCCTTGAGCTTTATTGAGTTTCAAATGTAGAAACCCTATGTTTGCGCCTAAGGAGTTACATGAAAGTACACATAGAATAATTTTTTTTGATTTTGGAGAATTTCTTCTTTTAAGATATCTAGAAATTTCAACATTGATTAAAAATTTATTTTCCAGAAAATTTTTTGGTCATGCTGAGTATGACCTGCATGACCTCTAGCTTTGCCACTGATGGAAATTAGCTATGGTGAACTACTACCAAACCATTACTGATGATAAGCAGGCAGAACATAAGTTATCAACTGATACCAAATTTACTGAAACAAAAACTAAACTAAAACTTTGACAAAAACTAAAACAGTGTTTTACCTGGGTATCAGTGCCCTTGCTTCTTCTGCAGTTTCAGGACATGTGTTGGCGAGACATGACAGTTCAAACTTGTGAAGCTTTTTCTTTGATAGTAATCTCAAAGTAAAAGAGTACAAGTTAATAAAAAGGAGTAAAAATTGAGCACTGCAAAAATTGAGGCTTCCTTTTCAAATGTTATTATCATGAAGCAAGAAAATATATATACTTCTGTCTAGGTTATGCAAATGTCAGTAGGGCTTGCTAATTTCAACTTAATTTTGAAATGTTCAGCTATATTTTTTTAAACAGCCATTTAAGAAAGAAGACAATTTTTTAATTCTTGATAAATTCAACAGGTTTGGCTCTTGATGTATGGCAAATGTCCTCTGGCGATCCTAAAATGATGTAAGTTCATTTATAACAAATAGCTAAACATCCTGACATTCAATTTCTAATGTTGAGTTTAAAATTTTGAAGCTCCTGTGCATCTGCCTATGCAAATTTTAGTTTTTCTGAATTCTCTCAATTTCTGTCATCTTCTAACATTTATGATATATTTCATGTGACCTGTAGACAGAAAGTGTACTGAATGACCAACAATTATCAAATACTCACCCCCTAACTTGTGCAATTGTTTCTCTGTTCTTGTATCTGCTGAACTTCTGTGTATATTCATATGTTTTTCGAAATACTTCTGACATCTCTTGATCTTCATCAGCCATCTCATTCTGTGCTTTTCTGTGTTCCAGCAACATGAATACTTCTGAGTTTAACAAAGTCTCTGCATTTTCAAACTCTGTAATGTATAAAACTTTAATGAATATGTGTCAGTTCATATAACCACAGTCATGAAAATCAATGTTTGTCAGTCTGTTATTATAGTTTATAGTCTTTTTATATTCCTGTATAAATTCACAATATTTAATACCTACGCTAGATGCAGAAAATACTATTATGTCTAGCCCATGGCCAGTTACATGAAAAGAACAAAATATGATAACATCTGTGAAAGGGAGCATTTTCTGTGTGGAAACTGCAATATGGGGCTGAGTGATGTATATTGAGATCACAGGGAACACCTCATATATAAATTGGTTAAATAAATTCAGGTAGGAGCTGGAGTCAAAATGAGGGATTTTAATAGGATAAAATATAAGATGTTTTTGGGTGTAAACTAGCTTAAAAAATTAAGCCACAGTTTTAGAGGTAGACTGGGGTTGTGCAGGTTTCTTGAACCAAAAGCCTTACAGAGCCAAGGCTAACACCTGTTAAAATTAACAGTTAACTATTCAGATCAGACACATGGATTCTATAATGACATTATTTTGATAAATTTTATTTTAGAAATTTTATCCTATGGCTTTGGGATCAGCTCTTTGAGCAATTATTGTGATGAACGTGTACTTCAGTTTTTTGCTAGCCACTTTGTTGCTACCTAGCTTCCAAAGGTAGCTTTAGGACCACAAGAAGCCATGTAAACATCCTTCCATGATTAACAATAATTTGAGATTAAAAATGAGATTGACGATAATTTGTCCATTAAAATGGTGAAAGTAGCTGAGCTCTTCTAACTTATATATTTTTATCTGTTATTTGTTCTATGATAGCTTGAATCGTGTTTTGGGTATAACTTCAGACACCGTTCAGTGACTCTTCAACATGTTTGCATATTTAACTACTCTCTATAATACTTAGGGTTACAATGCTTCGGAAGCTGATTGAAGCCAAAAGTACTTTGATAAAAATGTGGCGATACAGATTACAATTCTTTTTTCCTAATAACGACCTTAAACTTCTCTGATGCAGGCAGATAGACAAATCTTTAGCCTGCCTTGATGGCTGTGCTTTACTTCAAAATATAAATCACCCGTGGAAATAAATTTTGAGGAGAATCTATGAGTAATTAGCAGTTATCCAAGGACCATGGCAGTGACGGTTTTTTGCAATGACATTTGGGAAATTAACAAGTTTCCAGTCAGGGTCTCTTGATTTTTATTCCTGAAAACTTTATTCCGTACAACATAGTTACCATTCTGACGATCAACGATCGATAATTCATGGCCATAAAGCTGACAGGAAACTTAGGGCAGAAATTTCCCAAAATTTTTCCATATTTACCTTTTGGAAACATTAATTCTTTAGCATCTTCTTCGTCGATAATAACCTCATCTCCATTCACTTGACCCGCCATGTTTGTGAAGCAGAGCCTCACTTTGAGACAAACAAATTTGTAAACGTGAATGAGGCTAGACAGATTTCTGAATTTCAGAAAAGTTTCGTTTTACACCGATGGACATTCAAAATAGCAAAAATTCCTTGGTATTGTTTGAAAATTATTATGCACCAAATACATTGTTATTTTATACATTAAGTTTATAAGATTCGACTGATTTTCCACAGGGCCGTCGCTAGCAAGTGGGTGGGTGCGGCACCCTTCTAGAAATTTCTTGTCGGAAAATTTTCGAAAAGTAGAGTTTTGTCAGGTTTTGCTTTCAAAGTTCCCAAAGCAATAGCTTTAGCAAACAGTGGGGATGAGATGAGGATAAGACCGAAAAAGTATCATCGAAAAGCTCCACAATTGAAAATAGGGACAGATAGCGCTATGGATGTCACGGAGAGGCCTCGAGATCTAGGGGACCTCACAAAGTAATGAATTCCGTTTAAAGAATGGAATTAATAAAACATAGAAAATATATGCCTAAAAATAGTAAAACGTTCTAAACGATTGCCAGAAATGACTGTAAGAAGTGTTCTGAAATGTATTTTAAGATAATCTAAAGGACGTGGTCGCAAAACATTTTCGCTCGCTCAATTTAAATGCACAATTTAAAGCGTAGCACTGTCTGCGCACCATTTTAACAAATGGCAGCCCAAAGCTTTAGGCACAAGTAGTCTTAAGATGGAGAGGTTCGTTCGCTTCCTCGAGCTGATGTAGGAGAACAATAGGTTGTTAGATCCAGTCTTTTTTGCGATCAGTGGGTACAGCTGGGACAGTGCCCTGGGCCCAAGCCCTGGCGGGGACCTATATTCGAAATTTACCTTTTTTATTCTTCAACGATGATGTGTCGCTATTTCATGCTTTCTCCCAAAAAACCCCAAAAGCCCTAAATTTGATGTTCAAGTATGTGAAGGTAATTCTGTGTTGTAAATGTTTGATACATTTCTCGACAATCTTAAGCTCAGGCTAGCAAAGTCGGTCCGTCAAAACAAAATAACATAGAACGAAGGCTTTAATATGTCACGGCTTTGGGTAACAGTTTCAACAAGACAAAGCGAAAATTTACTCGCTTTTAATTGACACATAGTTATCTTTGTTGATGATTTTGTCTAAGTTTTTAACACTTCTATCGCACCTATTTTGTATAAAAAGAAGCCCCGGCCGAAGGTTTGCAGGGAAGATTGACATTCTAACAACGCTTCAAAGCGCTGTATAAAGCCCGTTTTCATCTTCAAATTCAGAGAAAGGGCCTTTCTAGGAGCAAAATCAGGGCGTGGCCTAAATTTTTTTGCGTAATTTGAAGCCCCGGTATGGCGAATAAAATCCCCCCGAGGCCCATCCTGCCTGGCGGCGGCCCTGCCTAGAAAGACATCTCTCTGGCTTGAATTTGACAAAGTACTATACTGCTCAACTTAGGTTATACAATTTGACGTTTCTCAGGAAAAAACTTATCATCTTCTATTGGCAAAAGTTAGGAGGAGGTATGATAAAATTCTAGTGATGGAGAAGGAGTTGGAGAGGAAGGGAAAACGTATATCAATAGCAGCAGTCTTTGAGCATCCAATGGTCTTAGAAAATCAATGATTGTTTCTTCAGTCACTGTGATGAAACATTTTTTCCAGCCTCTGGTCGTTAGTCAATTCCTTCGCTTCGGTCCTGACATCAAACCTTTATCTTTGCTTACATAAAGAGGATTTTGATTTTTTGAAGAATACTTATCTTAAATTGCCGAAAAAGGTTCACCAAATGTTTCAAAGGAATTCATAAAATGGTTTGCATAAAAATTGCATTTGAAACTTAAAACAGGTTTTTCTCACAAAACATTTGCTACTTTCCCAATACTTTTGTTTTTACACGAGGGTTACACATCGATTTAAATCCACCAAAAATGCCGAGAATCATGCCTTTGACTCCTACTCCTGGAAAATTGGGGATTTTGAACGCCAGAAAATACCATTTAAAAGAGATTTTTTGCAATTTAGGGGGGGCGTCCGACCTCTCTTGCCCCCTCCCCAAGCTACGCGCCACTGCATTCATTTCATGATTCATTCGACCGCCCTTGCTGGCAGCCTCACTATGATACCGAAACTTGCCTGGCTGGGTTTACTTCCGTGACTGAGTTTACAAAAGGATACAGTTTCGTCTCTTTTTACAAGTTATGGTTTTTCCAAAGTTCAAGTTTCCATGAGAAATGGAAAATTCATAAAACCTGAGCTTTGCCCGCTAATAGAAAAAGAGCAGCATAAGGAGAAATGACGGGAAGGTATGTGAGTTTGTTTTCAAATTTTTCGTAGTTGAAGGGCCTATATCTCACAACAGTTCGTTTTGTCAGATCTGGGTTATATCATGTCACCTACACTGCGTAAACCATTTCTGGGAATGTGACTTTTTTGCGACTTTTTGGAGTATCTGCCTCTAGTCTAGGGCAGAAAAGTTCAGTAGAAACTTAGGCTGTACTTATCTTGTGACAAGGTGTAATTGAATATTTTATTATGTCGTTACACCGCGGTATAGCCGAGCCGTTCTTGAAAACCTGAAAAAGGTCTTCATTGCTCATCATCATTTATCGCACATGGCTATTTCTCAACGATTTAATTATAGCTGTTAATTACATTTATTCTTTTTAATAATTTAACTAATAAGTTCTAAATTAGTAGCTATTTGTAAGAATTGCTGCTGATTTCAAGGGGTTTTTTCTTCTATAAAAGCTGACGAGGCATGTTTAAAAACCAGAATGTGTAAACAAGGTATATCTAGTTTCTAGTTTTATTTGATCTTGTAGCTAACTTTCCAAGTGTACTTAATGGAATTAAAGAGTACCCAACTTCATAAAATCTTCATAAAATTTTAAAGTAGGGAAGGAAATAGTAAGTTCAGAGATGTGGAAATATACAGGACAAACATGATTGGCATGGTTTCTCTGTCTCTGGCATTGAGCCTGTCTCCAGCATTTAAAGTAGAGATGATTGTAAATAAATGAGAAATTGATACAAGATGAATAACTTTTACCTTGTATCAGCTTACGTGTTTATTAAGACTAGTATGTTTTAGTTGTAGGTACAGACCACTCAAAAATATTGTATCTGCAATGTTAATACCTTTCTAAACTGATATTTTATTATAAAAGTGATTTGCCTCCTCTCAGTTATCCAGGTATGAGAATTAAGGCATAGATAGAGAATGAACCAGGAAAAGGAAAATTTATTGTATGCAGCCCTCAGAGAATGTGTGAGAATGTGAATGTGACATTTTACATTTAGCTTTTGCTGTTATGTCCTTGATCTCAACTTTGCACTCTCATGCTTTTAGTTTTTGTAAATAGATTTGGATAGGCAGCTTGTTGTCTGGTCCTTTTATTTCACAATAGAAAATCCAATAACCAGTGTATCATTTTCTGCATCCTATAGGTGGTTTCACCCACATATTAACCCCCAGGAGTCAGATGACTTGTTGAAGGGGAATGGTACTGATGGAACGTTTTTGGTGCGACCAAGTCAAAGTCACCAAGGAAATTTTACCATTTCCGTCTTGTAAGTATACATCTGGTTTTTTATTCTTGATGCAGAAATAATGGAACATTTGTTAATAACTAATGATAAAACATATTGATCAGAATTAACACACAAAGAGAAATCGAAACATAAGACTTGTAGCCATTGACATGTTTGTACTGCCAACTTTAACTTTTTTTAATCAGGCAGGTTAAAGATTAAATGTGTTGAAATTTGCAAATTCATTCAGAAATTATGCACTATTAAGCTAAATATGCCAAATTGAGAATCCTGTATAGGGGCAATGTTGCAAGTGGTGATTTCTAAGGACATGATTGTTGTTACAACCCTCCCTTTCTATGGAAAACTATACATGGCTTTGAAAAAAGCAAGTTATCCAGTCATGTTTGACATCTTCAAGACATGTTTCGGATTATTGGTAAAGCCCGATCGTCGTTCCACCTAGCAGTTTTAGAATCTATCCACATAAGCACGAAAAAACCGCTACTGTGTAGACAAAAGGAGTTTGTTTTCACCTTAGGACTCCACTAGTAACATTCTAATAGGCAAGCGGCACTGATTGGTCAACCTTTACAGTTATGTGCTCGTGTTTCTCATTGGCCTATTTCGATCCACAACTGGGTATATATAATTCTTAGCGTAGAGTTTTCGATCTATGTTCTGACGTTTTAAACTCTGAAGAGTGTCAGACGAAAAGTTTTAGTTTACTAAATGTTTGCTTTTTTCAAAACCATTTACAAGTTTTGTACCACCAAAAGATTAGTTTCATATTTATAACTTTCCTTCAAAATGTAAGTGAGTCTAAAATATGGAGTGTTGTCTTCAACAAAGTAGAGTTTTAGAAATGTGAAAATATATGTCAGATTTAGAAAATATACTGAAAAGAAAAATATATGCAGAGAGCTTTCAAAAATACCATAAAAGGCCCAAATTTGGCATAAAAATTTGTCACATGCTTTATTTGGTAGCAATGGAGTCAGGTTCTTGGAGCAGATGTGATGATATGTCAAAATGATATGGGATAGCCTAATGGATTTTCTTTGCAGAATTTGTGCCTGTCTGTTTTGATATACATAGAAAGACAGAAGTGGTCCTTTAAATGCTGCCCCTGTTTAACTTTTAGGCATCAAAATGAAGTGACAAATATTAAAGTACTCAATGATGGTGATTGCTTTCAGTTAGCTTCATTAGATGGAGCAGCATCAGAACCATTTGCAACATTGAATGATCTTGTTAATCACTGCATGAAAACAAAGAATGCCATTCCTCTTAAAGATGGTGGCTGTATTGAGATGAAATATCCACTTGCTTCCCAGGATCCAACATCTGAAAGGTATTCTTATGTCTAAGAGATTTTAAAGTTTTTTCTCAAATTTCATTTTGAATTTTAGTATCAAAATTATCTAGAGTATTTGTGAGCACTTTCGATGCAACAAGTCCTTCTTTGAATTTGGTTGATCTAAGGTTATGTGTTTTGTATATCCGTGCTGTTTTGTAGTAAATATATAATATGGTCTAAATAACTATTCACACATTATCAAGAAAGGTTTGATAATAATCTCTCTTTTTTCAAGGTGGTTTCATGGGCCATTGAAAGGTGCTGAGGCAGAAAAATTGTTATTGTCAAAAGGCACTGTGGGGAATTTTTTGGTCAGGGAGAGTCAAAGCCAGCCAGGCCAGTTTGTGATCAGTGCAAGGTTGTAAATAAAGTTAACTTCTCCAAAACACATAGTCCTTCATGATTTCACTCAATGATTTCACATTCAACACTCATCAGAAATTGAAGCTTTAGTTTTAGTCTAATATTAACAGCTGTTTTATAAAGTTTTGCAGCAAGAAGAAGATAAGACAATTAAACTTTTTATGCATTCAAGATTGATCTTGCATTTAGACTCACTTTACACTCAAATGAAGCCAAAGGAGGTGTTCACACTCGGCCAGCATTACACATGTTCCAGTAGGCCCACTTTAAAAGCTGCCTAAAAGTACTAATAACAGACTAGAATAGGATCCGATCCTCTGTGTCCAGCGTCAGCCCAACAAACATTCATATATTTCTGCTAATCGGTCCCTCTTATTTCCTGTCTATCATTTTTCATTATATCAATTCCCGGAAAATTTTTGTTGTAAGTATCCATTCATGAGTTTACGGAGAATTACCGATAATTTCGTTAAATTGGAGCATAGAAACACAAGAGTGCTAATCTGAAAACATATTTACAAGAACTCTAGAGTAAAGATCGCTACCCTGGATATTATAATTAGCTCCACCCTTTGCATAAGCCACCCCGTTAACCCACCGTTTCTAATGCACCGAGCTCATTACTTCACCAGCTGTCGATCAATGCTTTAATTCCTTTTAAATTCTTAATTTTTCTGCATCTGTAATCAAACTTCCAATGATCCATTGTTTAATCCATTGTTTAAAGTTTTTTTCTAAGATTATTCATTTCTATTTGAAAGGTGCCAATCGGGCGTGTCACATGTCATTGTAAAAAATAGAAATGGCAAATTTGATGTTGGATCTGGTCTTCAGTTCAATAGCTTGGCACTCCTTGTTGATTATTATAGACAAAATCCACAACTCAGAGATGCAAATACCCAAACGGATATCAAGTTGGTGGAGGTGAGGATTTGAGTTATTTGGACCAAAGTCCCCGAGGCCGGCTTTAGAATTTCTGGAAAAAAGAACAAAGGAAAACAAAAGCTTTGGTGACAGTTGCCATGGTTGCCAGAACACAACAAAAACAACGGGCGGGCAGCTTCTTTGCTGTTATTTTTGAATAGAAAAAACGAAAATCACGCAAATCAGGCCTTAGAATAAATTGCTGAAAATGATACCCGAAAAGACGTGCACATCCCGTCAGCAAAATATACTAAGTACCCCCCCCCCGGGCCAAAGTCATATCTCACTGAAAAACAAAACATTTTTTAAAAATACTTTTTCGACGTGCGTTCGACGATCGTTCAAAAATTTTCTTGATTTAAAAGTTCTACATATCGGTTGTTGAGTCAAAATCTTGGTTGAATTTGGTTAAAGTGTTTGGTTATCAAGTTAGTTGATGAATTTCTAAGTTTGATGAATCTTCCAGAAGCAAGGATTGATTAGGCCTGATTCATTGTTCCTGTAATTGTTGCGTTTCCGCCTACCATTATTATAGTTGTGCTCAAATGCCTTTTTATTATCTGTTTAGTGAAATGCCTCATAAAACATTTTTTGTGATCTTCAAGGGGAAAATAAATAAATGAAAATCTGTATAATTTGTATAATTTGAAGAATGTGTCGAAATTTGTTTACATTTTTTCCCTAGCCATTTTACAGCACAAGTTTCATAGCACGAAATATCGGAGAAAGAATGCAGCAACTGGAAAAGAAAATTCACCCTCGATTAGATGGCTTTGGTGAAGAGTTCGAGGTACTATATTATCTTGCCTGATTTTTCCAATCTTTTGTGAACATTTCAACTCGACTTTTCGATATTTAGGAAATTTTGCCAATTATTGATTTTAGCTTTATCAAGATTATAGTTTGAAATACACCAATTCGACTTACGGCCTCATTTTGAAAAATTCTTCAAATTCTTTTGTACAAAATTTTTGACCTCAGATTCGGATTGACAGCAATGATTTTAGTATACTTGGAAGTTTTCATTTTGATATTGCTCACGATATTGATTTCATGACGACATAAAGACAAAAATTTTATAAGGGATTTGACCGTAGTGGCGACTAGGGGGGTAAAGTTTCCCCCGGAACGATTTTTGCGGTCAAATCCCTTACAAGTTTTCAAACTTCATTTCTCGGTAAAATCTAAAATACAAGCTTAAACAATATGAAAAATGGTATCCCGCCTAAAATTATGACGATAAAACCAAATCTGAGCTTAAAAAAGTCGTATAATGAAGTTTGGAGAAATTTCCAAAACGAGGTCGTAAGTCGAATTGGTCTATTGCGATGCCCATTATGGGCTTTACTGATTATTGTGATAGATAGAACAGAAGATGGTCTGCAAACCAAATATGTTTTCTATACTGTTTCGTATTTTACGTATTTTCCGTAAGGTTTTATTTGTGTATTTAAGTGACACTCGCAACTTGTAAATACTCGTGGCAGATCTCAACATTGCATGCTGATATGACCTCGTTATCTTATTTTGTTACATGGCCTCACCTCAGAAGATTTTCCTTAAAACGCATTGATTTTTCCATTACTTTTATAGGAACAGACTGGAGGTCTTGAAAAATAGGCCTTCCAGGTTGCTTTTACTATAATCTGCAAGAAACTTTCAACATCAACTACTCAGACACTCATATTTTTAACAGCAAAATACCCGTCGGCTAGACTAGACACGTAGCTCGCATCAATGCATTTTATCAATATCGTATGGTCTTTGAACTTAAAAAAGGCTATTTAAAAGCAGAGAGTCCAAGACCCGCGTTGTTGTCATTATTTTTAGAAGAAGGTTTTCCAATGCTTAAGGGTTTTGTCTGGATAAATGATGAACTCTCTCTTTGATTAAACCTCTTTATGAATTCCGCAATACTTTTTGGGAGAAACAGCTTTAGTTCCTGGCTTGTGGCAGCTGTTCTGTCAAAAAAGGCTGATCACTCTGACAAGGTGGCTAAAATACCTGTAATGCTGTCAAATCTCTGTATAAAAATCATGTTTTGCTTAAAAAAAATTGAGATGTTTTGGGTTGTAGACCCTCTTTCTAGCCTTGTCCTTGCACCATCCGTTGTTGAACAAATCTCATTTCAACTTGTTTTTTTTTATGTTTTAGCGGCTTCAGTACTTTGATATGAAGCAAGGTGCCTATAGTACAAGGGAAGGCATGAGACCTGAAAACAAAACGAAGAACCGTTATAAGAACATTCTTCCCTGTAAGGATACCAGAATTATTTACTTTTTATTCAATGTTTCATGTGTCGTATTCAACTATTTTTCCTTTAAGGTTTGCCCCTGGATTCTCAATTTGACCGGATTTTTTTATTGCGATCATAATATTTAGGCCGTGTAAAAAATGAGAAAAAATTAAAATTAATTGTAATCTTATTACAAATTGCTTCATGCAGAATTCATTAAGAAACATTCCAATGACGATGGAGCCGAGTTTTTTTAAAGCTTTTTAGTCTCCACTCTAAATCCGTGAACAGTATAATGTATCAAATATTAGTTCTCAATACACGAAAACTTTTAATCCCTTCTACTTCTCTAGTCTTTCTAAAATATTACTTTTCAAAATTGTTATAAATTCTTTGACTCTGTTTCCTTTTTATTATTATCTCAGCCTTTGTTTTGGACATTTGGAACTCTTATCAAAAACCTTATTGCAAAATACTGTGTGAATACGTGTATCCATGCATGTTTGTCAAAGCACAAGCCTGTCATTGGAGCTTCTTAAGTCTCTGTTTACTGCATCGACGTCACCACTGTCCTTTGTAGCGACTAGCGATTTGCTACAATTCAAGTTTGAAATATTTCTGCTTTTTTAGATGATCACTCTAGAGTGAAGCTGCAAGGTGCTGAGCCGAGGGTTGTTGGTTCAGATTACATTAATGCTAATTACGTCGATGTAAGTACATTCGATTACAAGTACTTTCTATTGATCAGTGATCTGCAAAATACGTCATTTCAAGAGGTTGGTGCTCATTCAGAAAATCTGTTACTTGCTTCTTATATGTATTTATTCTTAGATAGCCATATTTGTTGTAGGAAAACGTTTTCAAAAATGGTCAGTAGAGGGAAAACTAGTAAATCAGTGATCCGTAGTCTTCTTTTAACTGCTCACAGTAATTAATCGATTCATTTTATATAGTAAACGTGTCGTGAAATAAAAATAGATTGTTTTGTGCCAACCCTAGACTATTGCAAAGGGTTTTGCCAACCAATCGTTTGTATAGCTCCCGGCTTGTGATCAGTTTTAAGCTGGTTCACGCCCAGTTTATATGAGAACGACGTCAAAGTTTTTTTCCTAGTTCTGTAGCCTGTATGCGTTTTGTTTTATTGCGAAAACCGTTCAATGTTTTTATGTTTTATGTTTTCTTTTTTAAGTATTATGTTTTCTTTCGGTTAGTATCACATTATATCGACTTCAGCCCTTGGTGTCGCAACATTTGACAGTACACAATTTCCTTTTTGTAAGAATATAGCCTATAAAAATATTAAGGCTCAAAATCGTTGAAGTTTCAGAATAATTTAAGAATAATGCCAGGCTGAAGCCTTTCATTTCATTTCATTTTATAATATTTATACAGGCTAAAGGTTCATACATATGTTTTTCAACCTGACCTGTTAAAAAGATTAAAAAAAGAGCTAATAACTATGTTATAATACTAGTAACAAAAGAAATTTACCAACCAAACCTAATTTACAATATTTATTAATACTAAGGCTATAAAAAGTGAACGTAAAGATGAAATAAAAGTTGTCCCCGACTATAGTTGTTCTTTGAAGGTTTTCAGGGAGGGGGCCAATTTGGTAGCCCTTTTTTAGACTGTTCCACAGTTTTGGACCGCGATAAGAAAAAGCCTTTTGGCCATTTATCGTTTTTACCAGCGGTATCTTAAAATCAGTTTCTGATGAACGCAGAAACCGTTCTCTATCATCCGAACATTTTTCGAATAATTTTCTCAATTAGTCTGGTGCAAGCATATTTAGAGATTTGTAAGTTAGCGTCATCAAGAGTTGAATTATTTGTTTAGTTGAGTTTTTTGGAAAGCAAAACAAATGCGCTATATGAAAGCAAAAGAGTTTGACGCTATATGTTTTTAAATAGACGTATCCGCACCTGAAGTCATTAGCATCATAATTCGACTCAGCTACACCTTGTATCGCTGAAGAATAATGTTGAGAATAATTTAAGAATAATTTGAGGCCACAAATAAACAGTTAAGAATTTCGAGGCTCGGCAAAAATTTGGTATTCTTACAAAGAAGTTTGTAGTACGGAAAGCGGAAACATGGCATGTTTGAGTACTTTTCATCAGGTATTGCATATGGTAGATGCATCGGACATCGAAGGTAGGATCGATTTGATTCGTATCTAAGTGTGATTCGAAAGTAAGATTGAAGCGTTTTACTCTTGACTTATATTGACTTTATGACGTGTTCAATAGTGAGGTCGTCAATTCAATCAGTTAGCCTATTTGAAAAGCAAGGTTCGTTAATGTAGTATATTTGTAAATCATATCAAGAAAAAGCTATGTAGCTTTTTAATTTTATATTCAAGAGCGAGCTTAAAGAAACCCAGACAAGCTATATCGCAGCTCAGGGATGCTTGCCGGCAACGAGGGCTGCTTTTTGGTCAATGATATACCAAGAAAATTGTCGTATAATTGTTATGCTTACAAACGAAGTGGAACGAGGAAAGGTAAGCTTATTTCTACTTTTCTCACCCCTTTTATGCTTTTTAATTCTGCTGTTTGCTGTGATAAATTTTTCTCTAGTCCCTTAAAACGAGAATGGCTTCCATCAGTTGCAGGACATATCTGCCTCTCTATAAGAAAACCTGATTTCGAAACCTGCTGAGCTTGTAACAAAAACTTTGATAGTTGTTTGATGGATAAACAAACAATTTTAGATAGAGAGAATAGCAAGAGTTTGATTTAAATTTATTTGTTTTGTTTGATAACCCTCGACTCATTTTGGCCGATATGCAAATTCCTATTCTCGTTTTTATTTACGATGTTATCTTGTGTTCACTTGTTATATAGCACAAACAAGCATTGCACAAATATCGAAGGGCATTGATCGTGATTTATTCGATTGGCCTACTTCCACGTGATTTTTCCAACACTCCATTGTATATGAAGGGGATATCTGTCTTCTCTAGGAACAACTCGAACAAATATTATGTTTGCTGAGAGGCATCATACCTCGGGGGGTAAACTAAGCCTAATTTTTGACGGACACGTGCCATTTTGGCTAAAAATTTGGACCCCCAATTCCGCAAACATGATGAAAACTATACCCATAATTCCGCAAAGCAAATAAAATTTTTAAAGCAGATAAAAATCATTAAACAAATTTTGCATTTCATTTGCCCCAGAATCTCAATATTACACATATTTCATACTTTTATTTCTAACTGGACATTCATTTTGCCAATGCTAAATCTCCCTCCTAATAATTTTGCAATATTTTCCCAAAATGGTACCAATAATTCTGCATGTTTCTTCTAATGGTACCCATAGTTCTGCACATATTTCAAAAACTGATACTGATAATTCTGCACTTTTCAGAAAAAAGGTACCTCTAAATAATGGCACTTCTCCGTACCTTCAAGCATGTTAAGGTACCCCCCAAGCATGATAGACTACACAAGAATGTTGTCTAATGTGCTCTTCTGAGCTGTACTGTTGGCCTTTTCTTTCCTGCCATGTGAATTTGCTTGGAAACTCTTCAGTTTTCTCAGGGAAGGGCTGCGTTAAAATAGAACTAGGAATGTAAGTAAAATCGTGCTAGGGAAAACAAACGAATTTTTATTTTATATCCGGTTATTCCTACTGGTATTGATGTATTCCTTAAACTGCTGCTATCTTTTAAAGATGTTTCAAGGAATAATTGCAGACATGTTCATTTGACATATTTACCGATTAACGGGTTTGCTAATTAAAGAAGCCAATCATATTTTTCACAAAGAATCAATGCCTTTTTAATAGTTTTTAATCATTATTATCATGATTACGTATTTCTGTACTTGCTGTATCAGCTTTTACCAACTATAATAAAACTTTTGCACCAACCAGGCAAAATGTGCGCGTTACTGGCCGGATGCAGGGCAGTCAAATGAATACGACGACATTGTGATCGATAATATGATGGAGAGCCACAAAGGAGATTTCTTAGTTAGAGAATTGCGGCTGTACAAGAAAAATGAGGTAACCGTCAATTTATGCATGACCAAGCTTTCTAATTTTATCGTCATGTCCTTGTTTATTTGCCATTTCCAGCGTTTCTGGTTTTATCTTAATGACTAGACAAAGCGATTCGACAAATCAGCGAACCGGCGAACGCGACCAGTTCCTCGGTAGTTCAACTGAGTTGAAATACTAGGCGAATGTTTGCGCATTCGAAACGAAAGAGGAAGTTTAGTTTTGCGCATGCTCAGAAATTTGTTCGCTCAGTCGCGCGACTAATGCGAATTAAGTGGAAACTGGCCTTAACACTCCCTTCAGTGATGACCCCGCTGAAACGCTCTATATCCAAGGTATAAATATTATTCGCTATCAAGGAAATACGATAATACGATACGGAAATACGCAAATACGATATCAAGGAAAATACGATCATTTTTGATATTAGGATTTATTCACACCCGATTTCCGTTGTTTTCATTTCACTCCTGAAATTATCCCACTTTTTCGTCAAAGCCCGCAAGGAACTGTTGGGCGTGTCCTATAATACTTGGCATGTGGCCTAAAATGACGGGCCCTGACTACAGATAGCTTTCTACCTCAATCCTCATCGCCTTTAATCAAAGTTTGATAAAGTGAAACCTTTTTAATCGAGAGTCAATAGCTTGGCGTTAGACCATCTAAGGTAAGAATTTGAGTGAATAAGTGGGAATTAAGACCCCGTTTACACTGTCCCGTGCAAGTTTGGAACCGTGACAAAACTGTCGGGACAGTGTAAACACCTATCCGAGACGATTTTGTCACGGATTCACAAAGAGGCCTTTTGTATGGCTGTTTCAGGTAATCGAGGCTTTGATTGTGGCGTAACTACGTTCTCAAATTCTGAAGAAAAGGAAATTCTGAAGAAAAGACGACCATAGAAAAGGCTTGTAGTGTTTCCCAGTCCAAGCCTTGATTGGACTTTGCAGTTTTGTAGTCTAAAATAACACTGAAAATTAAAGCCACCTTGTCTTTCGTCAAAGTAAAGTTTTAATCGGCCTTCCGCTCCATTTTAACTCACAATAAAAATTCGATTGTTGACTTCAGCGGCAAAATAAAAGCCTTGGTTGACTAAATACAGCTTCTTCTAAACAATGTTCTACCATTAAATTAAGGTCGTACCGGTACAGTGTAAACGGAACGGCTAAACGGAACAATTTGGAACCGCGACAGTGTAAACACTTGCGAACCGTAACGGTACAAAATTGTCCCGGGACAGTGTAAACGGGGTCTAAGTTGTGGTGAAACGCGGTGGTTGTCATCAAAACTGTTATCAAAATTTTGAATGGCATGACAAATTGCTATTTTTTCAAAATTGATTTGACAAATAAACTTACCAATTGTTTGATTACTTATCTTTGTTTATATGTTAACATTAATTTTTTTATTGCTAAGATTGTTTTCCTGACTTGAAAAATTTCTTGATAAATGAGTATTTCTTGATAAAAGGTCATTTGTTTCCGACGATTCCAGGACTCGGTCCCTTGCTACTAATTCCCATATATAGGCTTTTCTAGTTGTGCTTCTGGTTAATTGCAGGATACGATTTTGCGTAATCCTTAAATATGCAGACCTGTTTCTCATTTTGATCATAAATGAGATTTCATCAATGTATGCATTGATAATAACGCTTGCAATTTCCAGGCTGATAAAGAGCCTCGAATGATTTACCAATACCATTTTACTGCCTGGCCTGACCATGGAACTCCAGATGAACCGACGGCAGTGTTGGACTTGCTGGATGACATTTATGCCCAGTATCTAAGATGTCACAGAGTAGGCCCTATTCTGTTCCATTGCAGGTACTTTTTGCCATTCTTCAGTTTATGCAATTGACGTCAGCATTCGACCTCTTAAGCGTGTACTTTTTCATTAATGGGTCTTGGCTGATCGACTTTTGTAAGTGACGTAGTTTGAGGTTTACTGAATCAAGAACGTTGAGGTCACAAGTTTAGATTGAGACACAACCAGTCTATGTATGTACAGGATAAAACAGCCAGGTTACCACAATTTGCGTATGCATTAGAATATTTTATTTTATTTCTAATTATGGCCCAATCAGTCAAGAAGATTGCGTTTCAGGCCATTTCAAACTTAACCATAAAAGAAGTTGTAAAAGGCTAAGATTGTATATGTTTATCAAGAATATGGGAGTTAGAAGTCAATAGTGGGTTTCATGGAGGTTTTCTTCCGATATCCCTTTCATATCATCAAGTCTTCTACTCAAATCCTCCCTTGATCAAGTCACGTTTTTTTGCTTAGTGCTGGCATTGGCAGAACGGGAACTGTGATTGTCATTGACGTCCTTATTCACTTGCTTGAAGAACAAGGTATGAAAATTGCCGGCATCACTTCTCGAAATGTTTTTGGTTTTGACTTGATGTGTACGGTATCCTCTAATCTAGAATCCCTGCCATTAAGTCCTTGGAACACCATGACGTCATTGAATGGTTTGGGAAAGCTGAAGGTTTCTTCCCCTGTTACAGAAATATTCCCCTCCCCTCCCGATAATCCAAGTTGAAAAGAATATTACTTAAACTATCTGATGAAGCTAATTAAATGAATTCCAAGGACAATTATTGTTGCTACTACATATTGCAACCGCCTCTCTTGCCCGGTGATAGGAGGGGCAAGGGGACCTAAGTGCCCTTTTCTTGAAAGTGCACATGTAAAATTGTTTTTATTACAGAAGTTAGCCCATTTACAAATAAAAAATTAGTAGAAGCTGGGATTTTTTTCAAATGCCCTTTTACTGAACCCTGTACCCCTTGCCCTTGGTCGCATTGCTGCTCATCATTCGATGATGTTTCTTGCCTTGTCAGTTCTTCTTTTCTGACACTACAGCGAGGTTCCTCGAGGTTAAGAGCAAGCCCAATGCTTATGAATCAAGCCATTTTCAAGTATTTTAATGACTTGTTATTATGCTAGTACCTTTATTTCTTTATTGCATCATTAATTTATATCTTTATCTGTGATTTTGCGTAGGCATTGATTCTGACATTGACATTCAGAAAACGACACAGCTGATCCGAAGCAAGCGCCCAGGAATGATACAAACCCAGGTGAATAACTTGAGTGGGCACCAGTTTCACCTTCTTCAATTATAACTGATATTATTGTTAAGGTAGAAGGATTGATTTACATTGACTTTTTTTTACCCAATGATCAATGATCAATGATAAATGAACAGAACAACTCGTTTAGAAAAAATGCTTTACAGGAACCAAATTCAGAACCTTGTTGCAGAAAACGGCTTTTTATTTTGAAGAATAGAAATAGTTGTTATTTCTCGGAATCTCACCGGTCGCATTAAAATGCTGTAAGGGAGTGATTATTTTAAAGGGTGTGAATCAACAACTCTTAGCTTATGATGGTTATACCTTTGGATTCTGGTTTTTTTAAGTACGATCTCTATTTTATTCTTTTTTCCGATTTTTCCATTTCCTTAAGAAATACTCATTTCATATCATGTTTATTTTATTCCCACTTCTTTCTTTTTTTACGCATCTATGTTTTAGATTGTGATTTTCAATGTTCTTATTCCTGTCATTGAGCACGTGTCGCACTGTAGGATAGCCACCTGAGTAATAGAACATTTCTTTTCAGCACCAATATAGATTTGTGTACAGAGCAATTCAGAAACACCTTGAAAGGTTTATGGCTGAGCAAAACTCATCCAAGGTTGGTACAGATATATAAACTTCTATTTTTCTTTTTCTCTCCTTTGTTTGATGAATTAATTAGACGAAATGAACCTGTCAGTAGCTGACGGTATTTGCTTATTGAAATAATTTGATCAATTGGGAGAGCTTTCCCATTTGCTTTGTTGTGTCCAACAAAACAGTTCTAAGTTGCAGCTGTACTTCATTTATTGGATAACCATTTGTCCAGTTTTATGAGCTGCTTCTATATATAATCCTCTTTCTTTATTTCATATTTCGTTTTCTATAAAAAATGAATTTTATGCCCCTTTTCAGTGCTATTTTATACTAAGTACATGAATTCTTCTGCTAAAGGACCTTCAATATTCTGTAAAAAGTTTTCTTCAGGTTTGAATTTTTTGCTAAATGATAGCTGCTGTGCATTGAACATATGATTTAGCTATTTGTAAGCCGTTGATTATGCTGGCAGTTTTGAATGAATATATAAAGAAGATGCCATGACAAGTATTTGCACTTCTATATAACGCAAAGCACTTCTTTAAATCATTGACTGCGTTTTCTAATGCAGGTAACATCTTCCTCGGGTATTTATGAGAATGTCCAAACTGCTGTTGTTGGAAAGTAAGTTCATTTAAATATATTTCATCAACCTTACTAGCAACTTTCACTGCCTCCAGTTGGATTAATCTAAGGGTGCCTCCAAAACTTCATGTTAACTTATCTTCCTACTGCTGATTACAATGTCTCTAATGCTTCATGGATCTTTGAGCTTTGATTTTAAACCCCTTTGAATTCTAACAATTTTTCAGATAGAGCAAGAAACATAGAATACTATGTTTGTTTCCCTAGGTATATTTTGCTTTTCCGTCCTATCTTCAACTTTGCGGTACCAAAGGCTAATTTAAATATGTCGTTATTTGATCGGAAGTGTGCAGTATTTCATGCTATTTGGGGTTTGCTTGCCTATGGCATCGTTTGTATTTGCTGTCCACATGAACTTGGAATCATTAAAGCCCTGGTCAAACGCATCCAACATTTCATCCAACATTTACTCCCAAAAAATTAGAAAGTTCGTTGATATTTTTCAGCGGGTGGTCAAATGCATCAAACATTTCGCCCAACATTTCATCAACATTTCATCCAACATTTCCATCACCGTGCATCGCCTGCGCAGCGACATGTTTGCAGCACTGGTTTACAGATTATAAAAGGGGGGTAAAACAAAAGTGAATAATGAAAACTGATTTCGAGAACAACACGTTGAAATGCATAGCTTCCCGTTAGGCCTATGCCTAAATCTAGATCGCCATCGCTGCTGTGACTCTCCAAGTTAGTGCTACGTTCGTCCTAATCCGCATCCCTTTCCTCAGCTATTAATTGTTAGATTATTTCAGTCTGCACTTTGCTTTTGCTTTTCATTTTTTACTCGATAACTTTGAAAAAAGTTGCTCACAAATGAATCTGGATTCACCTCGGCTCAAATGACGATAAAGAAGTTTGAATCATGCGCATGCCTAGAAAATGAAATGTTGAGTGAAATGTTGGATGGAGTGGTCGAACGCATCCAACATTACACCCAACATTGAAAAACAAAATTTGTTTTTGACCGTGATCAAACTTCATCCAATATCAGTTTGCAAATGTTGGGTAACCCAACATGGGTGGTCAAACGCATCCAACATTACATCCAACATTACACCCAACATTGAAAAACAAAATTTGTTTTTGACCGTGATCAAACTTCATCCAACATCGGTTTGCAAATGTTGGGTGACCCAACATGGGTGGTCAAACGCATCCAACATTTCGTCTAACATTGGTTTTCTGCACGTTGGATGAAATGTTGGATGCGTTTAACCGGGGCTTAACGCTGTCATTTGGTTATTTTTCAACTTCAAAATATTTTTCCAGACGCCAAGCTGGAAACCCACGCAGCAGAGGAAATGTTTCTGATAAGGTGAGGCAATCATACTTGAATCTGTGTCTTTCTTTTTTCTCATACCATCTGAGAAAAAATGTTGCTCGAATATTTCATTCAACATAATTTATTCTATCTTAGTTTGCTTTGTGTTATTGAGCAACTGATGTCGAAAAGCTCATGTTTTATAATTGTTGCTATATGGTTTCATATGTATATTTCGATCAGTTTTTTATTCCTTTGAAGTCGGGATAGTTATTAGGTTTCTAGGTTTGTATAAAAAGTCCATTCTGCCTATACAGAATTTGCCTTTACAGAACAGAAATAATTTTAATGTGCCATTTTGCAAGTGTATGCATAAGCAAAGCTATAAGGCACCTAACGATTTTCTTTTATTTTAATGCATTATTGTGTCATAGATACTGTTGCTTTCAGAGTTCTCGCCTCGTTTACAAGAGTTCTCGCCTCGTATACAAGAGTTCTAGCCTCGTATACATCTGACTGCCTATTTCTTCATTTCACGATGCACTTTTCATATTTCTTCCTTGTTTTTCCTTATTTCGTTTTGTTTATTTCAGTCTTTACTTCATTCCAATGGAGATCAGGCGGAGTATAAAAGAAAAGGCAAAAGGTTAAGAAATTTCAGTCATTTACATATGCCCTTGTTTAAAGATACTGTTTTTTGAATGTCCAGTGTTCTATTAGTTCGCTTACCTGAGCTTTGAGTGCCGAATGGAACTTTATCAATAGCCTATTATTTAACTAAACCAATGGGAATTGAGGTGATCATCCAATTTTGTCGGGGCATAACATCTTTAAGGAAAGAGACAACCTGTTCCTAAGATCAGTAAAATATCCGAGTTCCTTGAATCATGGAAACAAAGTTTTTCTATTCTAAATTTGCCAAAAGAGATAAAACTTTCTAAGTTCTTCTCAGTTTCAACTTATTCATAGAGTTTAAAGCATAGTCGCCAAATCGTGATTGAGGAATCGCTGCAGCAGGAGTTCCCGTTGAATTAAAACAATCGTTTTGCTAGAAATGAGTAAGAAAAGAAAACTGTATTTAGATGCGATCATGATTTGACACCTAAATTCAAATTCTACTTTGATTTGCAAATGATCATTATTCGAGCTCAGTATTCTTTGATGGCTATCTCACTACGAAAAAAGGGCACCTCATTCTTCCGATTAAGAGTTGATAAACAATATAATTTTTGAAGCCTATACATTCTTTCATTCAGAGAACTTCTTCTTATGTCACTGTTTGACCTCAAGAATATAATGGAAGCTATTACTGGATGAAATGGAAGCTTTATCTCCGAAAAAATGAGAAGTTTTTGCTTTGGGAAACCGGAAGCATTTTATATGAAAATTCGATTCCTGTGTGATTCATATGGGAATCATGTGGGACATTTCAAAGTCTTCTTTTTGTCCACCTCTCATTTCTGTTAAAAAAGATTAATGGAAAGCTTTCAAATTTGCCTGCTATGTTTCTCAGTTTTGTATTTCAAAATTTAGAAATCTACCCTGATGGCTATTGTTTTTGCTGTCAATGCTGTCATTTTCATTGTTTTTGAATATTTGATTCATTTGTGACATTTCAAAGTCTTCATTTTGTCCACCTCTCATAACTGTTTTTAAAAAATTCGTCGAAATCTTTTAAATCTGCCAGATATGTATTTCGATAGCGAGAATTTATCTTGATGTCTATTATTTTGCAGTCAGATAATAAATTCAATTCTATTTTTTCTCAGGTGAAAATTAAGTTAATTACGATTGGCAAGTGTATTTGACTTTATGATCTATTTTGGTAGCGGTTGATTCACAATATTTTCTATGGTGATTTGTAATATATACATATTAGGTGGATCATTCTGTTAATTTTTGAAACCTTTTTTGATAATAATATTTGAAGACTCATTATAAATCCTATTGTAAAAACTCTAAAAACATTTCTAGAATGTTATATTGTATGCATGGTTTGCAGCCTTGTTGCAAAGAAACCATCTTACCCTCAAAATTACGACAGGTCAAGGCATAGAAGATCGTATCAGTTATTATGATATTGTACTCAGTATCAACCCTGCTTGGCTTTGCAGATATCATATGCATATACTACAACGCATGCCAGATATCTACCTAACAACTGTTCATTAATCGCAATCCCTAAACCGAAACAAGTATTAGTATCATCCAAGGTGCTATTATTAACTCTATGCAAACTGTAGCTCTCTGCAAACCCTTTTGAACATCACCAAGCAACAAACAACATTTTAAGTCTCAAAACCATTACACGAATGCTTTTTAAAAAGAATCAATGAAATTTTTAATCTTTGACTTTTCATTCCTGTTTGTTTATTTTAACAATGATGCTCATATCTTATTGTTAAGTTATCAGCTTGTTATAGTTATAAGAAGAATACGACATTATTCAGTTACGTATCATAACCTAAACCTAATCTTAAAACCCAAATCTTTCTGTATGAAACAAGTAAAAGGGCATCGTGGTTTTCATAATTGATTGGAGTGGTGTAACATCATTTTTCAACAGCGCAAAGTGCGTTTTTATTTGGCCTTTTTCATGTTCAAATGTGAAATAAAAAGGGTATTCAGAATGGCTCGATTGATGCAATTGAATAGTTTTTTTGAACTAGCTTGTTACTAGGATTGTTACCAGTGTATACCCTATCCCCACTCTAACTTTCCAATTACAGTTGCTTTCGTTCCTTAAGTTCAACTAAGCCATTTTTAAGTTCCACTAAAACGGTGTACAGGTGTCACTTGTTGGCTGTCGATCCACGATGCCCTATAAAAGCCAAATATTTTCATGTTTTCTAAATAAATGTATTTTTGAGTGTTATGATTACTTTGATTCGAATCATCATTATAGAGGCTTGAAAAATCATAAAAGATTGTCATGATCTTTGTTTCGTCATTCTTTGAACTGAAATTGTTTGTTGTCCAATTTTTGAATCCCAGTTGCATAAAGAACCTATCTACATGTAAACATTTGCGATCGTTTATGAAAAAACGCATAGAAAGTATTTCCGTCTACACTGATACATTAGATCTTTCACAGAGCGTCTAAAGCTGTCCACTCAGGCTGTCTACACGTAAACATTAAACTGACTGCAATCGAGCATTGTAAACATTTAAATATGTAAACATTTATCCACATGTAAACATTTGCGATCGTTTATGAAAAAACGCATAGAAAGTATTTCCGTCTACACTGATACATTGGATCTTTCACAGAGCGTCTAAAGCTGTCCACTCAGGCTGTCTACACGTAAACATTGAACTGACTGCATTCTAGCAAATGATAAGAACTTTGAAGCTTTGCACACGTAGAAGTTATTATATTTTATTGGTTTTGGTTGTGACTGACTCGTAGCCTGATGATCGCTTCACGAGTGAAACGTGGATAATCGCACGCACTATCGCATTACGTGCAATATGGTACCGTCCTGTTCTATACACCAGTGCGTGTACAACTCAGTCTATATTGCATCAAGCACATTATGATAAACCGTAAACAGTTATTTGCATTACCTTTTTGTACACATTAATACGGAAAATTTTAAGTTTTAGACTCATTGCTAACAATGAGCCCTTGAGCTACGCAAGCACCCCATAATGCATTTTCAGACAGTCTGTAGAAGTTTACTGCCATTGTTTAGATTGTCGCCTGGATAATTTGCCACCCTCGCAAGGGCTCATTGTTAGCAATGAGTCTTTAAGCAATTAAATGATCTGTTTATGGAATTCCTCGACCTGGGATCTGCAGAGACGCTTAGTAATTTTTTCCATTTTGTTTTTGATTAGATAAAATACTGAGCACCATAAAGAAGTTTATTTGTATAACAATGTTAGAAAACAACATTTTCCAATAATCTCTGAGAAATACCCGGTAGCATTCAAATACAGTTAAACATCGAAATATGTACTACTTTGATAGCAGAGATATCAACATTTAACTGGGGAAGAAAGGTGGTGCAAATTCTTAACAATGACTACCTAAGATCGTGGTATGTTTTACAAAAACTAAACTGTATGATAGCGAAGTATTTCCACTGAGAATATCCACCGACACGCTAGTTGCTGTTCACCTTCTTTAAGAGTCATCACTTTCAACACTTACCTGCGCTTTTGAATCTATTACACCGGGTTGTTCTAAATAAACTTTAGTTTCTTTTGGCCGAAGTCTGCTGGCTTAGAGGTGCTCTCAAACCAGGTGATTCTATTTTTGAAATGCTTCTAACTGAAACACTGTCCCATGATACTATGCAGTATTTGAAGAATACTTACGGTCAAGCCATCCTATTGGGAAATTAACTAACAGCGTCTTGGCAGAGCTTAGCACACACATCAATTCAAGTATTTCGATAGATTAAGTATGAACTTCTTTTTTAAAAATTTTCCAACTTTTGGATGCCAGGCATTTCAACTTGTTTGTAATAAATAGTGTCTGATTAATGGCATAAGGTAATAAGATGGATTATATTCATTTTATCTGCAAAATTTGTTCAGTAATCGTGCGTTTCCAAGAACTGATAATCGCTGGTTGTACCCAGGCGGGGCAAATATACTTCCTTTTCTTGCAAGCTTGCTGCAATGTCAATGGTTTTCAGTTTTCTTAATTTATTATAATGTCATGATTCTGCTCTTTTAGGCTCTTACCATTAAATCATGTACTTGTTACATTTAAGGTGTATTTGTATGTTATGATATGGGGTAGGGTGGGGGGGGTAGGGTGGGGGTAGGGTGGGGGGGTAGGGTTTGAGGATTACCTTTTGGCATTATAATTCACAGATGATTGCCAAGCTAATATATCAGGGAAGCATTGTTAGGTCTTATTCTTCCAGTCAACTTCCAGACCATCTATTTTTGTTTGATTGGTTTCGAAATTAGCCATACCTTTCGCCCACTGCAAATCTTTGTTCAAGTTATTATGGTGTGCTGTGAGGAAGTAATCTTCCTCGTACTGCTGTTGTTGTTGCTACAAGGACAGAACTTGATGGCGGATGCAATTTTGTCACCAGTGGACTTCCTCGTCTTGTCATCATCGAAATCCTACCAGTAATGTCCGATAGAAGGTGAGAATTCTGCATAAAGTTGAAACAAGCCTTTTATTTTCGTCTGCGAATAACAAAGTTGAAAATATGCAATGTTCTATGGAATAATCTTCTATCCAAATTGAAGTGCTGTTACTAAATTTCAAGCATTAATTTGTTTGCATTGGGCTTTATTGTGTTGTTTCATGCCATACCAGATTCCTTATTCATAATCAGGTTGCAATTTTCAAAGTAACTGCAGCAAGCCATAATGTTTAGGTGGATTAAAGCAAAGGAGGCAAACCAGTCTGGCGCTAACATGGCCTCTTTCGTGATGCTCGTTTCTCTGACACCGCCGAAAGGGCGAGAGGGGTCGAATATTTTCATGAAAATTCAGTCTCAGATATGTATTTATGATAGAGAATTAAGATTTCAACTAAGAAAGATAATGATAAAATTTAAAAAATTTATCACTATCTCTACAAAAAGAATATTAAATGAACAGTTTGATAAACTTCATTGGACTGTATTCTCAATGGTCACAGTTTAAATTCTCTAAATTGAGTTCACATTTCTCAGATGCTGCTGTGGAAAATAGATCACTCAGATTAAGAAGGAAGCTAATAGATCTTGGCAATAGTTGTTTGTGACTTTGAAAGTGATAATAAGAACAATGAAGTTCTGGTTTGGAACACAGATGGAACTCAGTCAGGCCAAGCTCATCAAAATTTCTTCAAACAGCAGCTGATTGTGTGCACATTATTTGTAAACTTTCAGTATGGGAGCATCTAAATAATGTTGATCCTAGCTTGTTTAACACCGACTGCAGATGCAGATAGTAATTATCTGATTTTGCAATCCTTGCAGCTCTCAAGCAAGTTGATTGAGTTGAAGTCGAATCAAGGAGATATCTTCAATTTTTTTCAAAAAAACTGATTAGACCAAGGAGCATATGCACTATTGCTGTTGCAAAGTCTTTGCTGACTGGGGAGACCTACACACAGAGAAAGAAAATTGCACCTTATTTTATTGATGATTTTACTGGTGCCTACAGAAGCATGACAAATGATCTACAATCCAATTAATCTGCAATTTGTAGATGTTTCACTGGCCCATGTCAATCTTGGCTGTCAAACGATTCTGAAATGCAAAAGGGATTTTGCAAATGCCCAGAGTGACTACCTGCCAAACATATTTGAGCTATTAGTCCTAGGAAGCATTTTGATCTGTTCACAAATTGATTGTGACTTCTTTTATATTCTTTACCATTAGGGACTGATATTCTTCTTGGTGGATTTGTCACCTTCTGCTAAAAAAGATCAAGTTTTGAATTAGCCTCCCCCTATCAAAATTATCCTCTCCTTCAAGCAATGAGTTTGAAAAACCACCTTGGGGTTATTAAAAGCTGAACAATATAATATGACAAAAGTAGCAATCCTTTATTGACGCAATATTTAATATAATATTTATCTATTTCAGATGGTTCCACCCAAATATTTCTGGATTAGAGGCAGAACAACTTCTTCTAGAGAAAGGACAAAATGGCAGTTTTCTTTGCAGACCAAGTGAAAGTAATATTGGAGACTTTACGTTGTCTGTAAGGTAGGATATCAACTCATCATTTTATAATGAGCCTTGTGATTTTACAGAGTTTCAAGTACCCTTACTCTTTACACATACAAGTGGCATCACTATTTTATGAAACTTAGAGAGAATGTAAAAGTGGAAATATAATTTCAATAAATAATTCAAGAGAGAGAAACCTGATGTTCCTGTATTAATATTGACTTGGTTATTCAGAAGTGTAACTTGATATAATGCTTGTTTATAAGCCCTATAATATGATAAGCCAGGTTATTTGTCTATAAGTGCAGCTCTGTTCTATTTTTGATTGACAGGCGTGGAGAGCAAGTTACACATGTCAAAATAAAAAATAATGGAGGGAGATATGATTTTCATGGAGGAGAAGTTTTTGCATCACTTACTGAGTTGGTCGAGTATTATATGGAGCATGAGCTCAAGGAAAAAACTGGGGAGGTTATACATTTAATGTATCCAGTTAATGCACAAGTACCAACAAATGAAAGGTTTGTTTTTTCTTGCTTTGTTATTTCTTCCATACCTTCCCAGTGTTGAAATAGCAAAGTCTTGGGTGTTTTTTGAGAGAATTAAAGGAATCTGATGGATTGCTTACAAAGGAAACAAAATTATGATACAGGCTCAATACCAAAACCCTCCCTAACTTATATTTTCACCAGTATTTTAAAGTCAGAACTTGTGCTTCAGCACTTTTGAAGACCTAGTGTCATTTGTATATGTTGCACTGAAAACCTCAAATTATCATAAGCAGCTCATCCTTGGAGGAACTTTGTTGTATGGTCTATTGAAAGTAAAATGAACTTTCTTGCCGGGTTGAGATAGCAAAATTATTTTTCTTCTCTCAAAATTCCTTTATGACCACAAAACTTTTTAAAATGCTTTAGGAATTTTAGACAGCTCCAGCACTAAGTGCATCATATCTTTTTGAATAGCTATTTGTATGGCATTCCTGTTTTGAATTACTGTTATAATACCATTGGCTTTTGGAAGCTCTTTTATTATTTGCTATTGTGGTTTCCATTTCATGAATGCTTTATGGATTTGTTTACATTCCAGGTGGTATCACGGAATGATAAGTGGCAAAGAAGCTGAAAGGCTGTTATTGGATCGAGGGAAGCATGGTTCCTTCCTTGTCAGAGAGAGTGTTAGCAGCCCAGGGGATTATGTCTTGTCTGCAAGGTAGTTTTTTAGCAGTGCCATTGCTTGATCTCTTCATGTGGGGGGGGGGATGATTGGTTTGGTTTGGGGGGTGATATTGGACTTTGCGTAAATTGAAGGGCATTGTTTGAGTAACAAGGGCAGAGAGCTTTTTGAGTCTGTTTTCTAGCATTCCTAATTTTTTCAATTTTTTAATCCAATTTCTTTTTTATAAGATACATTATTCAATTTTTTTCTTCTCCTTGCAAAATGATCAATTGACAAATTTAAGGGAAAAGGCTCTCAGATCCCTTACCTTCCCACAAAGACTAACAATGCTTTGGCATCATTTCACAATCAATCTCTTAACCTTTACCAAGGAATGGTAATTGATTTACCCTTTTTTCAGCTCATAACAATTTACAATAAATACAATATACAAACGATACCACAGGGAGCATGGAAATGCAACACAACCCTGTGGCCATTAGCAGTTAACTACCAGTCTGTTCAAAAATAGAAGCAGAATGGTGCAGGTTGAGGATTAAGATGTTGAGGTCTGCAGGCAGAGCTCTCAGTTGCGCTGTGCATCAGCTATTTCGATTTTGGCATTTCTTTTCTTTTTATATTTTTCTCCAACAAGCCCCAAGTCCTTTGGGGTTGCTTGGCCTTCAGAATTTTAGAGTTGCAACTCCAACCCTTAGGTGCTATACACCTGTCTCCCTGATAGCCAAATGTTTTGTTGAAATCTTGTAGGCGATTTAGCACTCTGATTAAAGATAGAATTGAATAAACATAGGAGATTAGATTTAGGTCATTTTTTGACTTTTACAAAATGGAAAGGGCTTTGATAGTAAAGTATGTAGTGTGTTAATTTGCAGTAAATTTTCTGCAGGTCTGGAATTGAGCATCTTAAGAAGAAAGTGCGGAGCATATCGCGCGTGGAAGAAGCTAAACATTTTGTTGCTAAACATGCCAAAAACAACGAAAACAATTTTTTGCATTGTTTTAAAGCCATTTTGGAAATTATTTTGAGGCTAAAGGCTCCCTGAGCCCCCTTTGCTTCCACAGTCCCTGTCTTTAGACCTCTTGGAAAAGTGGTGTGGAGAATTGTTTTAGATAGTGACCTGACGTTATAAAATGCAGCAGGAATGTTCAAAGTTTTTCTCCAAGGATGAATTTTTATGCTAAGACGTGGATTCAATTGCCATGGAATGGAAAACCCATTTCTGGTACAATAGACTTGGGACTGGGTTATGTGGGGTTTTATTTCCTACGATGAAAACAAGAAGAGTAATACTTGGTCCAAGGTCCCCATATTAATATATTTCCTGACTTTTTTATTTCTTAGAATGGATGATGACATTAAGCACATTATGATACGTCGCAACAATGGCTTTTTTGATGCCGGAGGAGGGCCTACGTTCCCGCAGCTAGCTGATTTGATTGACAACTACAAAAAGAATCCGATGGTGGAAAAGATTGGTGGGACAGTGGTACACCTAAAAGCGGTATGTTATCGAAGGAGTCACATGATTTATTGTTGCTCTTTGAAATATCCCTATCTAGGCCGTTGGCTTCTCACTTTGTCTTGCTGTCTTGCTTTCCACGCAAGAGCATTGTCCATGTGATAGGCAACGATTAAGTTTCATATAGCGATCTGGTGAAACTTATTCCGATTGGGCATCACACAACCAATTCAGTTTCTTCAGTTATGTAGGATGTTGGGCTTTATTCAGTAGCAAGTTGGCAAGAAGTGAAGTGTATTTCTGAGCAAGAGAAAAAATGAACGAAAAAGGTTTAAGAAAATCAATATTTATATTTCCACACCTGTAAACAGGCAGCCGGTAAAAATAATACCATTTATTTCTAGAGATTCCGTACAAATATGTATTTTGGATTTATGTTCATTGATTCTCTTTAAACTTTTAGATTTCATCAAACATCATTCATTACACAGGAATTTATTGGGATGGCGAAACGAATCTAGCATTGGACTATGCGAATATTGCCTGTGCTGTTCAGTCGACAGTTGAATTTTTTAAGTCGGGGGTTTCGGTGTTATTTTCAAGTCAAGTGTGATCAAAGTTTCATCTGTGGTCATGTTCTTGTTTTCAGGGTCTGTTTTGAGGGCATTTTTCCACAATTTTCAATAATGCTTGATTATTTGAACCTAAAAATGGCACAATTCGTACTTTCCATTGTCAGTTTTTGTATCTTATGTAAGGATAGCGTAAACCTGAGGATTTAAAGAGCGTAGTTTGTGTAAAGAGCCCTTTTGTTTCTTAACAGTCTTCGCGTAGGTACAAACTTTGACAGAACACTAAACATCAAAACGCATGCAAGGCTGTGGCCACCCTTACTCCCGCCAAATTTCATAGTTTTCTTTATCTTACTATTGTTTTCCCCCTCTTCTCTGCTACGTCTCCCTGGCATCCTTGAGTGCAGGGTTTCCCTGATTTCCTCTCTTTATTCTAAAAACAAGGAATTTTTAAATGTGTTTCGTTTTCTACAAAAACAGCCGTTTAACGCTACCAGGGTAACTGCGACTGAGATTGCAGACCGTGTGAAAGAATTGATGAAAGACAACGCGATAGTGCCGGGAAAAAGTGGATTCTGGGAAGAATTTGACGTAAGAGCTTCATATTTTGATATCGATGTTGCTATTATGAAGAAATCGATGTTGCTATTATCGATGTTGCTGTTTTGTTTGTCAGATTTATTTCCTGCTTATAGGACAAATTGTAAAAGTTTAAGGAAATTAGTTATCAAAATGGCCTAAGTGTTTTTGAGTTGATAATGCTAGGGAAAAGCTCGGGAGCCTAGAGCAAAGCCCTAACAAGGGTAAAGAGGTAGGCATTAGAAGGTGGCAAGATCAAGAGAAGGAGGCAAGATCAAGTTGTTGATAATGATTTTGAATAAATAAAGGTTTCAAGAGTTTTGAATGCCGGAATTATTACAATGGGTATGCGATATTGTTGCATTTGCTGTGAAGACCTATTTTTCAAGTTCACAGGAAAATATAATGGAAAATGTGTCAGACAGACATCAGCTATATTGATTTTTAGGACTTTTAAATCTCATTCTGTTTATTAGATGATATCATGAGATATATTAATCTATACAAAAAAATTAAATGAGAAATTCATTTATGTCAGCATTAACAGATCTTTAATATTTTAATACAATTATAGGAGCTGTATTTTTTCTCTTCAGCATTAGGCTTTATATGTATCTACTTTAATATCTTTGAACAAACTTGTGATAAACAATTAAGCAGTTAAAATCAAGTATTTGAATCAAATCATGCTGTTGAATACTTCTTCAGTATAGGCTGATGCAGCAAAAGCAAATTTATCTATTGATATGTTGATCATTGCCATATTTTTAAGATCAAGACTTAGCAGACTTGATGTTTAAGTATAGAAGCTTTTGTTACAGCAATTGCAGAGAGAGGAAGACCGTCATTTATACACGAGAAACGAAGGACAAAAGCAAGAAAACAAGTCGAAGAACAGATACAAAAATATTTTACCATGTAAGTGATCTTCACCTTGAAGTTTAAGCAGAATTTGATTGTGTCATTACCTTCATTCAAGATTTCATTTCAAAATGAAGCTCTCCTTCAAATATCTTTTCATTTCTTTAAAAGTTATATATTGTACAATGCCTGTTACCTACATTGTAATATGGAAGGATATGGTTTTTTGATTGATCATAAATGTTTTTATAAGCTTCATGGACTGGCTCCACAATACATGTATAATCTTTTCAAAAAAAATCCAAGTTAACTTCTAGGAATGTTAGGATAACATCAACTGACCTAAGGCTACTAGAGAAAAACTGTTTAAAGCTGCTAGGTCTTGGAATTGCATCTCAGCTGTGTGTAAACAGGCATCTTCCCTGAGCAAATTTTAAAAATATCTGTCTCAATTGTAAATAAGTGTTAAGCATTTAGTTTTTATTGTGGATGTTTGCTTTATTTCGTTTTCTTTACTATTATTTTATTTTGTTTATTTTGAAATACTAAGTTCAGATCAAGATAGGGTTTTATTGAAGTTTGTATATAATATTGAGTTGTAATTAGGCTAATTTATTATTTTATACTATAACATTTCTTGTAAGTTTTTTTAAGTGGAGGGCCCCTTAAAAATCAGTATTGTTGAAGGGCTACTCTCCTTAAATATATGAAAAGAAGTGAATGAAGTAAAATTCAATAAACGGATTTGAAATACAATTCAATTTCAAACTGTTTTTTGGAATCGCCATTCTAAAGTTCACATCCGAAAGCTGGGAGTGGTGGAGCTTGCATTTGCGCCTGTGTTAGGATGGCATGTAACAGGGGTGCAATGGCTAGGGGGAAAGGGGGCTGTAGCATCAAATTTATCAGGAAATGACATGGAGATGCGGTAAAATAGCCAACGAAGGAAACAGCAAATTTTAACTTTAACCCCCCAAGTCTCACTTTCACTGCCCCCTGGCTCATGGCAGAAGTGAGCAAAGAATAATGAAGAGAAGTACTTTTTTGAGACAATCATCAGTTACTAAGTCTGGTTTTCGCAATCTCGTTGGTACTCGCTTGTTACTTCAAGGGTAGCGAAAAACACCGAGGCAGGTTGATATAAACAATAAATTAAGACATCATACCCCTATCCCATATTTTTTTCAATATTTTGGCGACTGAGATCTTCAGTTGCTCGCCTATACGTTGTTGCAACAGAGCCAGACACTAAGGCTTCATTTAACAACTCCAAGAATGTAAATACATGTACAGAATTTTGATGCAATGTTAATTCATACATCCCAGATACGTTACGGGTGATGTTTAATTAAATTGAAAAAAGATACGATAAATTTGCTTCTAACTTTTCTAAAAAAATGCCTTTCCATTCAGTGCTTTGCCTAAATTAAGAAATCTCAAACTATCTTTTGGGACCTCGTGCCTATAACATAACAGGAAACCTATGCAAAACTTTCCAAACGCCTGAAAAAAACTTATCATAGATATGCAGCTATATTTTGGGTGGGGAGATTTCAAGTAGAAGGGTGCTACTTTTTGTTTGTTTGAAATAAATTATCCCTTGCCAAGTTTTGGAGCAAAATATTCCAAGTGCTTTTAAAAAACCAATTATAAGACAAGAAGCTTCTAGTCTAAATTTTATTTGATGGTTGGTCAGTCTATTCAGGAATATATATATATATATACATTTATTCGGACTTTTGGTTACACTTTTATACGCAAGTCTTACATTTGCTTCCTATAGTTGATCATACTCGTGTGAAATTATCAGATGTCGACCCTGATTTACCCGGCAGTGATTACATTAACGCGAATTTCATTGACGTAAGTTTAATATTTGTCTGTTCTTATGTATGTTTTTTAAAGGATATTTTTAAGGTTGAGCTTTTTCTTTCAACTGACTAACGTCTAAGTTTTTAAACGCTAAAAAAGTCTCTGGAAATTCAAGCAAAACTGCTGAAATCCGATATCGATTTTTGAGAGACTGCTGAAAATTTTTGAAAAGTTTAGCAAAACGTCTTATGTTATCGATTCCTACCTTGAATTGATTATTTTTTGGAGATGTGTTTCGAAATTTGATCATTTGAATTATTGAAGGACCTCGTTCATGTAAATAGAAATTTCTTTATGAGCATTTAATTAACTACTACCAAAAGTATGAATTTGTTGTGGTAATTCAAAAAAACGCCATTGGCAAAAATCATCAAATTGAGGGGTCCAATTTGAGAATTTACGGTAGAAGTGGGGGCTTATTCGAGGGGGGTGGGCTTATTGACAATTTGTAATTCTACGGTGGGTGCTTATCCGAGGGGGGGCTTTTTCGAGAAGGGGGCCAATTCGAGGATTTACTGTGAAAATTTTCTCTATGCTTGTGTCCCCAATTAGCTTGTAAGCTAAATATTTTTTGACACATTAATAAAGTTTTTGATTGATTGATTGATTGATTGATTGCTGGTGCGCTGCTGTTTCTTGCATGTCTGCTTTTATGTGCTGGGACTTAATGTACTCAACCTACCAAGGGATAAATCATTCTTGGCTATTTGATTATGAAGATCTGAATACTGCAATTCTTATTCAGGAAGATACAGGCCTGAAGTACATCGCCACTCAAGGATGTCTGCCAGAAACCGTTGATGATTTCTGGAGAATGGTTTATTTTCAAGACTGTCATATTATACTAAACGTGACGAGAGTTGTTGAACGACAAAGGGTGAGTGTAAACACCCTGTCCATAACAATCTGTATGGCAATTTCTGGAGAAGATTGTTCTTGGCCAGGGGTGGAGAAATTTTATGTCTGTTGCTTTGTGATCTTCACCAATTCGTGTCTACCAGCCGCCCAGTGGTCTGCCTGTTTTAGCAGTATCCCAGAGAATTGTTGTGTGATTAAAAATAGTCACATTAGTGCTTAACTTTTATTAACGGAGGTATCATGTCACTTTTTTTGTCTTTAATATCGCAGTGTAACTTATTGCATGCAACAATAAAATAAGCTAATATTTTTTGGAGAAACTAGATTTATTTGAAGATTCCTTAACTGGATCCCTTTAGACTAATTATAAGTCATAACTAAACCACTTGCCAGAAAAATATTTTTTCAAAACTGTTAACTCTCATAAGATTTATGATTTCATGTTCGTCAGCCTTTTTAAGTCATTAATGTTTTCTGGATTGGTTGTATATCAGATATATAAACTGCTAGTAGTTTTTGTAGCAGATCTTTGTTTTTCTTTAACGAATAGGGTGTGAGTAATTTCTTTGGACTCTGATCAAAGAAGCTCCGTTTTATGTAGTTAAGAATCCATGTGTTTCCTTATTGGTAGCTAAATATTTTGTTGATAGAGCAAGCATGTCCGTCGGAGCAAAAAAACCTAAGTTTATCGATGCCTTTATTTCAATTATTCTATCGGCATGCGGCACTGATCGGGTAACTTAACCGACTATGTGTTAGCGTTTTTCTGATTGGCCCATTTCAATCCACAACTGGGTATATATTTTCTTTCTTGATCTTTTCTGCCTTTATTCTGACGTTTTATACTCTGAGGAGTGTCAGACGAAAAATCTTTAAGTAGTATTTGTTGTCAAATGTTTGCTTTTTAAAAGCCATTTTCAAATATTGTACCGCTAAAAATGGATAACAACTTTCAATTATTGTACCAAACTTGTTTTTTGTAGACCAAATGTGCAAAATATTGGCCAGATGTTAATCAGACTTTAGAAGGAAACAGTTTTGATGTCAAATCTATCAGCGAAAAAGAAACTCCAGAGTACATCTTTCGGGAACTAGAAGTTACATACAAAATGGTAATTTTTAGACAGTTATACTCTAAAAAAGTACGAAATATATTTTGCGACATATATTTGTGACATATAGCGAACTGTGCCAATAGAAAAATGTCTTGTACTTGCAGTCTGATTTGAAGGCATCTCTGAACAAACTTACATTTACCTGAAGATTCTTTGTCTGATCAGATTCTTGCTTTCCCCGACAAGACGACATAACAATCAAGCTCATTTCACGATAAGCGATTAGTCTTTTCCACCTTGTAGCCGTATCCATTAACATAGGATAATTTTAGTGAGTCTCTTCTCTAGACCGAGATATTGATTTAAATCGTACAGCAATTAACAATGTTTCCCTTCTTAGATTCTTTGATTTTGAACTAAGAGGCCTAGCTATCTTAAATGATCAAGATATGAAGGAATCACTTATAAGGGAAGGAGCATTATTCACACAGTGCACTCAACTCAAGAAGATTTTTTTAAAATAAAGGATATGACTTTGCTTGATATTCTACAGACTCAAAATATAAATATTTAGTCGATCCAAGAACCTGATTTTATCCTTCTTGGATCTATTTTGCGAATATCAGACTCTGCTGGCCATCCAAAGGATTTTTATTCTATCCGTCTGTATCACGGAGATTCGTTAGATTATATTATTTCTTGAAGTATTTGGGAACAGATAACTTTGACTTAAAAGCTGGATTGGATTAATCGATTTTTTGCTTTCATTGGCGTTTGAATTCTTTCATTCATTCTCAAAATGCTGAAAGAAAAACATACTGACAAAGATAGTTGACATGTCTATTTGTTGAATAGGGGTAAAACCCCGAGTGTAAGATGCTGTAGCAGGTATCGCTGGGCAATTTTACTTCGCTTTTCTAAGAGGGCTTTACAAATTCTATATATAAGAAATTTTATTCGAGAAGTTTAATGAAATAGGCAACAGGAAATGCTTCAAGATCTGTAAGAAAAAATGAACAGGGTTATGTGAAAGCAAAGAGCCTCAGGCAAAAGTCCCTTAAGATACTTTTAAAATTATCAAATGAAGGGATGAAAAAGCGGCCTTCTCTTCTTTCATTGCTTTCTTTGGCTTCATTTCTCAAGTGTCGCTGCTACAAGTTTTAATTGCTGTTGACCTGGATCTAAATTGAAATCACTGCCATCGGCAATTAGGTCTATCACTCTATTAACGTGTCTAAACTACTGACCTTACTCATTTAATATACTTCGAGTAACTGTCTATTTTACAGAGAGAGTAATAATTTGGGTGGGAGCCAAGCTGGTTCATGGGGCAGTTTACCCATAGAGCTACGTAGGATAGGGTAAATGAGCTTTGCTTATGATAAAGAAAGAGGGTAATATTTGATCAAATATTTTTTATTGTTTAAGTTTCAACAATGCGATAGCCCTGTGGTACTTAATTATATTTTCAGCCTCGAAGTGAAACGAAGAGGGTTCGCCAATATCATTATACTGGTTGGCCTGAGCATGGAGCTCCTCCCGATCCCGGATCGGTCCTAGAGGTCTTGCATGATGTATGCTTAGGAAACCGGAATCATCATGGACCCATCGTGGTTCATTGCAGGTATGACTTTAATCTAGATGACAGGACAGCCAATTTGTTAACCCAGTTTTACTAGGTCATTAGGACTTGCTTTTATGTCCAGTTCATCACTATCTGATTGGTCAAAATAATAACATATCTGCTGCTTAGCCAAACAGGGATTCTAAATCCGCTCTGTTTTACATATGGCTGTTGATACGATATAGGCGCCGCGCGAAATGTGGCTAGGGGCATGGCCCCCACACATTTAGGGGAAATATTGCCATTAATTGATAGTCGAGCTATCACTGTTTTATGGCCTCTCTCTTTTTAAGTTTAAGGGGCTGCCTCTGTGGCAGCTGCCTTGCTCATGATGCCTATATGTATAGGGTTTTCTTGTCTCTAAATATCCGGTTCAGGGTAATGTACCATTATGTCAGGTGAAAAGAAGGTATAAAGGCATCGCAGCTAACTGTTACAGTTGTAATTTTTCCTGTTAAGATATTAAAAGCATTTCATGTTTTATTGAAAGTGATCCCTTTCCGTGTGATCTTCCCTCTTTTCTGTGTTAATGGAACAGAGACAAATCTTTTGCAATCCCAGCTTCAATTCTTAAACCCATCGAAGTGTCTAGAGTTCTGTCGTGATTTTACTTCATTTTATTATTTTATATGATGAAAAAATTTTTCTTTTTCAATACATATCTTTTTTCTAAAACATGTAGTTTTTAGCTGAACTTTATTTCGTTGTACTTATTTGTCTTTAGTAATGGCATTGGACGAACTGGTACTTTCATTGTTATCAATATTTTGCTGGGCATTCTTCAAAAACACGGTAACCTCAAAATTTGTGATTATCTTTATTCTTTTACAAAAAGGGTTTTTGAGACGCGTCAATTAATATAAGCTCCCTATCCGACTGTTTCAAATTTGAATTCGCAGGAAATATGCAGTTACCAGTTGATTACATTAGGAAACAGTTTAAGATGGATTATTGTATCTGTTTTTCGTAGAAAATAAAGGGAGGGGGGATAAAATCTGGTAAATTGACATTTGTGCAAGTAAATTGTCCTATTTTATCTCTTTTTCAAAAAAGTAAGCTTTAAGAGAAATTTAAAATTGTTTATCGTGAATAAATTTTTTGTGTGTCTTTTGCGTGTCATTTTTGAGTATTCAATATTGCCGTGAGCTTTTTGTAAAGTAAACTGAGAATCGAATATACCTATTCACTTTTTCGACAGGTCTTGATGCGCAAATCGACATTCCTAAAACAATCCAACTTGTGAGATCACAAAGATCAGGGCTGGTGCAAACGGAGGTATGATTCGAGTCATTATTTACGTAGAACTCAGAGTCGTATTTAGAACAATGAAACAAAAGTCCAACAAGTCGAGCAAAGATTCCCATACACAGAGTTTTTGCTTCGTGGACCTGCATGACTTAAGGGCCAATATTAATCTTTTATTTAAATACCATTCCATTGTACAGTGCATTTTACGTTAAGCGATCACTCTAAGTAAGTCTTTAGAAAAACCTTAAAGGAATTTGAGATTTTGAGAATATTTTATAGATTGACTTTGCAAATCCCATGTTTGAGATACATGGTGATTGTATATTTACATAAGTCATAGGATCTGGGAAAAAAGTTAACTGTATGCAATTGAAAAGGTATCCAGAACTACTTTTCCCTATATTGCCTAGTTCGAACAATGGCTGGTAGAAATCAATATGATACTGGACGCAATACACATGCCTATACAGGACTGTTTCCTAAAGAGTATATATTGTTGCTTGTCCAGGTAATATATTTTCAGAAGAAAAGAAAACTGCTAGTACTGTAACCAGGGAAGCTAGAATTGAAGCCATTTGAAAGGAGGGAGGTGAAAGGATTGTGCGAGTAAATTGTAGGACCTCATGCCATTTTATTATACTACCAACTAAAGAAACAATACAAAAATTGGAAGGAAATGTTTAGTTGGAGTATAACTACATTGGAAGTACAGAGTTCAACAAGATGCTCCACCACGATATAGAAGCTAGAAACTTCTGTTATGCTGAAAACAGTGGATTTTTAACGAAAGTCAGAGCCAATATCATTTTTTGCTTTATGATTGCAATTGCTCCATAAACTGCCTACCCCTTCGTCTTCATTAGATCCGTAAGTGCGTCACACAGTAATAAATCATAAGCACGTTTCAATCGGTTCGCAAAGCTTTGAGAATTTGATACTTTTCCGTGATATATGTTATAGAGGCGTAACAAGATATGTTAAATTCTCTCTTATAGAGAGGTATGTAATATAGCTTTCTGCGTACACAGATTATTTAATACTTTTTGTACTTAAAATAGACATCTATCGTTCTCCGTGAATGGTCGCATAGCCCTATTAATTGTGCGGTTAGACAATCCGGTCTGTTGCTATGAATCTTCAGTTTCCTCAGGCCTGTTGGCACAATGACAATTTTTCATAGCTTGGTGAAAGAAAGGTTCCTTTTTTTGGAAAAGCTTGAAAATTCATCTTGGATTCATCTTGGATTGAAAAGAGTACTTGGATTGGTCAATCTTAGAAAGAAATTAGTTGCAATTGTCTTGAGTCGTTAGAGACGGCGCCATCCCTGAAAGGGATGACTTGTTACTATATGGTCCCAAATTGCTGTCGTCTTGAAGTGAAGACATAGAAGCTTAACTTGCGTCTAGTCCCATGCTTTTATGTCGAAAGTGACATAGAGGCAGAAGTTCCAGGTTTTTGGGTTAGAATAGCGGTCAGTTTTGGCCACCCAAATCTATTGTGTCCCATAATTGTAGTGGTCTTTTCGTCTGTCCACTTAGCAGTGACAGTGGATATTTCGTTCGAACTTTCGAACGAAACAGTTGAAGGTTTGCCAACCTTACTCTCATTAGACAATAGAAGTCTGATGTCTGCAAGTAAGCGTTCAAATACTGTCTGTTTCCATTGGTTTCCAAACTATTTCAAATAAAATCAGCCACTAACCTTTGTAGAGTTTTTTACTCTTTTTCCTTACTTTTTTATGAATTATTAATATGAATAATGACAACTCGTGGCAAGTTTTAAACTCTTCTGAATTCGCCAAGTATTTCATGCCCAAACATGCTAGGCTCTGCAAACGTCACAATAAAACGTTTCAACGCAGTTAGGATTATTTCTTTCCAAAATTCAATTGTATCCCCTAGCTCATTACACATGTTCCACCTAGTTTGAATTAATAATATACAAGACGTTCATTAAAACACCCTTAGGCAGGCAGCCGTCAAATGTATGTCAACAATGCTGTGAATTTTCGAAATTAAATCTAGCTTAGTATTATATACTGGCCATACCGCATACTTCAGCAAGCCACCGCTCTATTCAATGAATGGAACTGAGGCATTAGCAAACACTGGAAGTATACAGAAGTGTATTTGGCTAGTCAAGTAGACTGGAAATATACCAGCTGAGATTATTAGTAATCAATTCTTTTTCTCTCAAGAGATTATTAGCTCTCGCTGGACTTTTTCTAAAAGAAATTTAAAGACAGGATATTCTTTAGACCTACTTTAGAGGATATATTTCTTATTCCTTGGAAATTGTTAAAACATTTTAATACCTGAACTGCTCTCTCCATATATAAGCTTAAATTTCCTATGGTTGTGTTGAATTATAATTTCGGACGTGGTTAATGCGTGTTTTGATCTCGTCATCCCGATCTTTTCCTGTGAATGGAAAGGACTGAATGCCTTGCCAGGAAAATATTGCAACACCCACAGAATGGGGGTGTAAGAAAAGTTATAAACGAAGTACCAGTACATTATTTGCACAAAATTTTCAAAACAGCCCTAATATCATGAAATTTTATCTGGCTGCCTGATCTGGCTGATATGCCCCTATAGACGTTTCATGGATCACCATTTGAGCACCCTAACAAACATGGAGCCCCCATGACCTTGCCCCAAGGCGCCAGTAAAAGTTTCATACATGTCTTGAATAAAAGGCATCTCGTATTTATCATATATTTTACCCAATACCAGTGCTTGATCCCAAGACCCCTAACTTTTCTTGTGTTGGCTGATTATTTAACTGTTTCAGTATCCAGTTATACAGTGTTTAATAGCTAGGCAGCAAGGACTCCCTCCACGCCACATAAAGCCATCATCTTTAATATCAGAGTCATCAAAATCCCTCTATTTAAAGTCAAATTATCTACTAATTACCGTGCAAAGACCTAACAACATAAAACAGCTTTTTAAAATCACCTGCATTAAGTTTCATCCTAGAAACCGTTTCACCTTTCCCTTTTATTTGCTCTTTCTCAAACACCAAATCTCATATCCTCACATGGTAGAATTTCGTCTTATCAACTTAATATAAATAGTGTTGTACAAATCCGAATAACTTTTTCTCTTACCCACAATGTTTTCTCTATACTTGACATTTTGTCTCGTTTATTCTAGACTCAGTATAAATTTATTTACCTCGCATTGGAACATTATGTGGAAACCGAAAAGAGGCGTCAGGGAATGTCAGCACCAAGGGTACTGCTTTTCATTTAGCTGTTTCAAATATTTTCTGTTCTTGTTCAAAGATTTCTGCTTTTTGATTACTTGAAACCAGTCCGCGAAAGTTCGAGAATCCTTCCTTTAACATATTGATCTTCTTTATCATACTGGTCAACTACATTTTTCAAAACAGAAAAAGGAATTATGAAAATTGATAGACGTTTCAATTACGCTCCACCCTTAGTTTAATTGCTATCATGAACTACCATTAATTAGCATTTGTTTAATTAGCTTCTCACATAGATTTTCAATACACAGAATTGGGGAATCGGTTTTAGAGAGGGGCTGGGTTTTGAGGTGATCGATTTAACGTCCCAAGCATTTATTCAATTTCAATAATGTTGTCAATCTCACTCCAGAGGTAAGGCTATCTTTAATAGAAGAACGCACACTTTTTAGCGAAGAAGATGTTTAATAGCAAATTTAAGACTTCAAATGCCAGAAAATTAAAGGCTTGTCCCCTAAAACTTATCTAGTGGAAATTCTTGCCTCTCATTGGTTTAAGCTGTGATTAAAAGCTACTGTATGTGTATTAAGCTTCTTTATCTCTGTCGTTACGTGCTGGTTTTTGTCTACAACAAAAATGACGACGGAACTGTTTCTATAGAAGCCGTTCGTAAGGCAGCCAGTTGCCAGTAAAGCTCCAAATTTCTAAATAGGTTAAAAGTGGCCATTTTACTTTGGAGCTTCTCTCTAGCTCATTTTTAATTTCATTCAATTCAATGCAGCTGTATTATCCGTGCAAAATAACCCCATCACCTTGCTAGGTCTGAGCCATGCTCAAGGCGATTTGAATAGAACGTAGGGGATTAACTGATCACAAGGAGCTGTGGATGGGTAACCAAGAAATCCTGTAGGTACCCATGGCTCTTGAGTTAATTGATGAATAGGTTCTATTGTGTCCTGAATGTAAGGTGATTGCCCAACTGCGCAGAGTTAAGGGTTAATGTGGGTAGGAAATGTCATGTTTAGTGTCGACTGAATGGTGTAAATAATCCATCAATGCTTTAATATGGTGATGGTGTGTAGCTTTTGCATATTCCGTTGAATGGGCTTGCAATTCAGTCCATCCCACCCAGATTAATCTGGCGTTGTTATTCATAGCGTTTTCTTGAGAAAAATGTACATGAGATAAGATGATGGTATAAAGGCGATATAATAATTGTGTAATGTGATGTGTCGTGTAGTGTAGTGTGGTGTAGTGTTTAGTGCAGTGTATTGTTTGTTTAGTGTTTATTGTTTAGTGTTTATTGTTTAGAGTTTAGTGATTAATGTTTAGTGATTAGTGTTTAGTGTTTAGTGTTTAGTGTTTAGTGTTTAGTGTTTAGTGTATAGTGTTTAGTGTTTAGTGTTTAGTTTTTAGTGAAGTGTTTAATGTAGTGTTTAGTGTAGTGTTTAGTGTAGTGTTCAGTGTAGTGTTTAGTGTAGTGTTTAGTGAAGTGTTTAGTGAAGTCTAGTAGTGTAGTCTAGTAGTGTAGTCTAGTAGTGTAGTCTAGTAGTGTAGTCTAGTAGTGTAGTCTAGTAGTGTAGTCTAGTAGTGTAGTCTAGTAGTGTAGTCTAGTAGTGTAATCTAGTAGTGTAGTCTAGTAGTGTAGTCTAGTAGTGTAGTCTAGTAGTGTAGTCTAGTAGTGTAGTCTAGTAGTGTAGTCTAGTAGTGTAGTCTAGTAGTGTAGTGTAGTCTAGTAGTGTAGTCTAGTAGTGTAGTCTAGTAGTGTAGTCTAGTAGTGTAGTCTAGTAGTGTAGTCTAGTAGTGTAGTCTAGTAGTGTAGTCTAGTAGTGTAGTCTAGTAGTGTAATCAAGTAGTGTAGTCTAGTAGTGTAGTCTAGTAGTGTAGTCTAGTAGTGTAGTCTAGTAGTGTAGTCTTGTAGTGTAGTCTAGTAGTGTAGTCTAGTAGTGTAGTCTAGTAGTGTAGTCTAGTAGTGTAGTCTAGTAGTGTAGTCTAGTAGTGTAGTCTAGTAGTGTAGTCTAGTAGTGTAGTCTAGTAGTGTAGTCTAGTGGTGTAGTCTAGTAGTCTAGTCTAGTAGTGTAGTCTAGTAGTGTAGTGTAGTGGTATAGTGTAGTCTAGTAGTGTAGTCTAGTAGTGTAGTCTAGTAGTGTAGTCTAGTAGTGTAGTCTAGTAGTGTAGTCTAGTAGTGTAGTCTAGTAGTGTAGTCTAGTAGTGTAGTCTAGTGGTGTAGTCTAGTAGTCTAGTCTAGTAGTGTAGTCTAGTAGTGTAGTGTAGTGGTATCAAGTGATAATTTTTGTTCTTAATCTGTTTGAATTGTTATGCTCTATTTACATTAAATCTACGTTACCTTTCTGTAAGGACCGGACTCATCTAGTAACCAGTATATTATTTTTAAGCCTCTAGATTTTGGGATTGGCCCTCCAAGTCCACATTATGGTTCAGGTAAAAGAACACATTTTTCAACGGGGGATGCAGCCCTTGGAAATGAGAGAATTCCTGGAAGCATTGACAGGTGCGTAGAATTTTTTTTTTCCATTATAATGTATGCAAATATTGCACACAAGACTGTCAAGGCTCTTCGTCTGACAGTCTTAGTATCATGAGACGGCTGGATGATTTGATTTGTTTTGGTTTTATTTCGTTGTGCTACAAAATGAAAATTTTGCAGCAACTGAATAATATATAGCTACAAGTTGGATAAGGTATGAATAAATCGTTTAAAACAACAACAGCAACAAAAACAACAACAGCAAAAAAAACAACAACAGCAAAAAAAACAACAACAGCAACAAAAACAACAACAGCAACCAAAACAACAACAGCAACAATAACTGTAACTGCAACAGCAACAGTGACTTATTTTTAAACGTGAATATCTTTATAACCTTAATATCTTTATAAGATTACATCGTTATATCTTTTTTACAATGACATGATGTTCGATGTAAATGAAAATAAAGCCTTGTTTGAAATTTATGTTTATCCCACTCAGACATGAGTCAAGTTGAGATTAAGCGAAGTTCTCATAGGCATAGGATTTTTTAAAAGGAAATTTTACAAATTTGTCTGATAATCTCAAACATAGACGGTTTCGTCATGGTTGAGAGATGATAGCATTTCGACTTTTGAAGGTTTGCAATTCGCGTCTAAAATGTTTGAAGGTTTGCAATTCGCGACTTTTGTTGGCCCATTTGCCGCACATTTTGTCATTCGGGCGTTCTAAATGGCGTCCAAAGAGCGACATTCGTGTAATAAAGTGAAATGAAACGAATACTCATTTTTGAATAAAATTTTAGTTGCATGGTAAAGTTGTAGCTAAAGTTGTTGCAAATAGTGTCTCTGGCACAGGAATAGAAACAGCATCATTTTAAAAAAGGTTTTTTTATTAGTAAGTTTATTTGGTTTTATGGAGTTGTTAGAGCTCCTGCTTTTAATGAATTATTTGTGAAGTATCTAAAACAGCTGACTAAAAAAGTTCTTAATCTAATGACTTTTTTACAAAAGTCGATTATTATCGGTTTCCAAAAGTAAATTTTTCCCAAGCAAGATTCATTTTTTGTTTCAGTCGTTAAATAGGAAACCAATAACAAAAGTTTATCCGCCCTCATTGCTTAAGCTGTAAGACGTTGGAGAATAGAACCAAGATGAATGTTCTCTTTTTAAGAAGCAAGAACTGCTAATGGAACTAAGTTTGATAGCTGTCTCCTTTATGGTGTTACCTTGATATTCAATTTAACTTTATATTATGATGTCATTTCAAGTTCCTGTTTGCCGTTAAGTATAACAGCACAGGGATCGGGATGCTGGCTCAAACGGCCTAACACTACAAAGGTCTCCCAGTGAGCTACAATCGCTAAAAGCCTATTTTGTTCCAAAAGAGATAGGCCGGCGCTGAAAGCAACTCTGTTTCAGATGCCTTGATGAATGATGACTAAAGATGAAATATGAGAAAAACTCTTTACAAATCGATCTAAATCGAAACTGCTGTAGCTTTTAATCTTCTTTGTCACAGTGATAAGGGCTATGAAATTCTACAAGGAAGCCGAGACGCTTGAATTTGATGTCAACAAAACTGTCCTCTAAATGGTACTTTTAGTTCAATGTAAGGTGCTGAGTTCTCATCTTAGGTATATTTTGCTATTCAGAAGTTTTTAATCCCGGCTTTCTTTCTTTTACCAAAGGATCCTTTAAATGTTAGTAATTATGAGCGTTTTTTGAGGAAAGAGTTGCAAAGTTAAACCGAAGGCAACACAATCTTAAAGCTACGTCGGCAGTAAAGAGAACTAGGAAGTTCAAAAATAAAAAAGGCTTATTCAGGCGAATGTTCTGCCGAAAAGCACACGTTTATTGAAGCATCGATGCAAAAGAAAAGAAGTCCTGATCTAGTTTTGCAAAATGTCCTTGGAACTATAAAGGAAGTTCCCCATGAACAATGAATGATAGAAGGTTCAAAATAAGAACGAGAACAGTCTTGTCACGAGAACGAATGACCGATAGAAACCCGAGATTGATCGTGAGTGGGGAGAAGAAGGCAGGTGACTTAGCAAGCGTGAGGGAGTTTCAGGGGATTTGCAGTTGTTTTGTCTCTAAAATGGGTTTTCAAATTTCAAATTGCTAGGGCCAATTACATTCTGAAGGCGAAAAGACGTACTTCGAAAAAGAAGAAAAGAAACTTGATGCTAACATTTCTGCGCGCAAACATATGCTGCTAAACGAATTCTAGCGATCCTACCCCCATGCTAAAATGCCCTGTTTTGTAGTTTGACCCAGAAGTGTTTGATAAGAGCAGAACCACACTCAGCCACAGTGCGTTCATCTAAACGATAAGAAGGAGCCCTTCAGATTTTGTTATCAACGAAATACTGGATCACCCATGCTAGTCCAGTCAGGCTGCTTTCACTGTATTAGGTGACCTATTGCTTCAAGTTCTTATCACGAATAGTTATCATAGAAGCAGTTGAAACTGCGATAAAAAATAATAACTTTGAAATGTTGGTTGCAAATTAAGTTAGCTAGAGAATTAATTTGATTCCTAATTTGATTTTCGATCAAAATTTGGTGCTTGAATAACATGCTTTCAAATTTTAAATCCTAACATACCCAGAAATCCAATTGGAAATTGTTTATATTGATTTTGTAGTTTTATTGATAAATTTTAGTAAACACAATATTTAGAGAGGCAGGTATCACTAATGACATTAAAGATGATGCATCGTGTGAGCCGTAGTACAAGAAGCAACAACATTTTTAAGAAGCAACAATTCTAAATTTTTTCATTTGACGCAACTTTATTGATTCAAATCGGTGGGGACTCCCGCTTTGGCAATTTCTTTCGCAGCCAATAAAGATTTGACGCCTAAGCTAGTACAAGAGAAATTTGGCGAAAAGAAAGAGGCGAATGAGAAATAGTTTATGGTGCAGGTGAAGAAGAGAAAGATAAAATGAAATAGTTAAAACTTTGCTTTGCAAGAAAAAAATTCTTTTAAAATTTTTTCTTGATGTATAAACAACATGTGTTGCTATCGGCAGAAATTTTAAGAATCAACCAACAAATCTTACACGTGAGTCGCCTTGTTTTTGAAAAACGAGAGCAATCCTCGGTTTTGATTATCAATGTGATATATGAGTGATTATTCGAAGAGATATAAAAGTGGTGCACTGATTTTTCTAGCTTCAAAACAGTGAATTGAAGCTTCTCTGACCGTTTAAGTTGAATGTATAGGACATTGCATGGTAGTAAATTTGAGCTTAAATGTCGGGATCCTTTGCTAGATAAACAGATTACTAAGCTAAACAGAAATCACATTTGTTGTTATGTATACGCAATCATAACATGCACTTCAAGTTTAGTTTTTAGTCCACGTAAAACCATTCAAAACAGGAAAACCATGCAAATTCTATGCAAAGATATTTTTAATTTCGAGCCTTGGGATCTCGTCTGAAAAATTTAAATTCAAAATTTTTCAGCAGAAATCCTTCAGATTGCTCGAACCTTGCCCCGTGTCTAAAAACGACAATTGTTATATGAAATATTATGGTTTTCTGTCAACAGCAGTTACTCACTGATGAACGAACGGGGAACGATCTTGCCCCATAACGTATAATTCATCAAAATTTGTCTTAAGGGTGTATTTTTCAAGGGATCAATAGCCCTATTTACGCAAAAAGACCCTAACAGAAGCCTGTATGGTGAAGATGCTAAATAAACTGCGCAAATTTTGAAGACAATCTGCCACAAATGCCTAGTTAAAATAGCCAACTAAGTCAGGGGAGCGAGTTTGTTTTCACCTAACGATTCCCCTATTTTTGCTCGGGAAGAAAATCGAAATGAGATAAGGTACTGGAAAGCAAGACAGTGGAAGATAATGTCAGAGAATGAATAGGCGCCAATATTGCAAGGTTTGAATGAAGGAAAGGCCTAGCATTAAAACTGTAGTGGCTTAAAACTCGAAAAATCCTGGTTCAGAGTGTGTAAGGGAAAATGCGACCAAATCCACGACAGGAATCACTTTAAGTCCGTTTTGTAGGCATCATGCTAAAATGCGGCAACGCTTCAACATAAAAGGTACAAGATTAGGGTTCATTGTTTCGTTTTATAGTCCACACACTAGAGGGCAGAATGGCGAAGGCAACTCTAGAACCCAGGCCAGATTGTGCCTATGGATCTGAATATAGACAAAGCTTGTGCGTAGAAAATGCTTTTTGGTAGAAGAATCACTTAGAAATATTCTGATCTACAGTAGTGTCGGAACAGCGTCATTTGTTGATGCTTACTCCTTGATCTCTTGTTTTTGTCCTTCTCAACTCTACTCGTATGTAAGGGTGAATTGTAACAAGTCTGATATTGTTAATAAATATATTTAATAAAGCTTGTCATATCTCGTCGGTTTCCCAATTATCTTATCAAATTCTTTATCTCTACTTTCTTTGTCTTGCAGGAGATTTCAACCAAATGACCCACCGCCACCAGTTCCAATGCGAAGGCCGGTCCGCGGTGACGTCACTTCCGCTGAATCAACCCACGAAGCAGCCAATGGTTTTACAGTTAGTATCGTTTTTATAATGCTAACACTCTTCATTTTTTACGCTCTCCTTTTTTTAATTTGGGGGTCTTTGCTTTACTCTATTTTGCTTTTTATTATACACTGTTATGCTTTTTATCATTATTCCTATTTTTATTAATTCTGATTGTTCATGCTTAATATCTTATTGGAACCTTTGCGTATGGCTTTACGGTATATTTTTAGTTCGCAATTTTTCCATTGTAATGCAGGTAGCCGAGGAAGTAGGAACGATAGTAACCAGCAAAAAATATACTAAGAAAGAAAGTATGTCTGCGAAATGCAAAACTAGCCTTTGATAGGTGATATTAAACCTATGTTTTTGTAGACAGAGTTTGTCTTCAGGACACTTAGTTTTATTGCATCGATTGGTCAGTCAGAATTAGGAGCCAAACAAACGCTCCATTTATTCTGCCAAGCTGTTTATGATTGTTTGGCAAGCTGGTCTGTCTGTCTTACACTCGAAGATGATGTCATAGCCGCGGCTAAGCAGGCCAGAAGAGTATGAGTAATCTGTTGATTGACATCCTTCTCTTTGAACGCTTTGATTTAGTCGAGGATTAAATTTTGAACCTGTAAAATCTCACCGATCTTACAATATGGTTTTATTTTCATATCGAAAGCGACAGTTTTAATAAAGACTAAGCTTGTTCCAATGACTCATAGCCCATTTAAGCAATTTGTAAAACAGTTTAAAGACATAGAAAGGTAAGCGCAACTACTGCCATTTAAGAAATAGAACAAGAGGGAATAGGACCATCCACACCGAGAAATTACCTTGGCATGTCGTGAACAACATTTGAAATATCGTTTTACATTTCATTTTTTTGGCCAGTTTTCGTAATGTAACTTTTTGTAAAAATGTTGTGTGTTGTAGGAAAATTGGTTAAAACATGCATTTCAATATAAGGTAATGCTCTTCGAACTCCCAAAGCCCCAGCTGGATAAGGAACCCCCCCCCCCCCTCATGAAATCTGCTTCCACCCTGGAGAAAATCGTACGGGATTTTCTTTTGCATTGCCATCTTTACTGAAGCTCAGTTTCCACTTATTAAATCGTCCTGAAAGCGAATGGCCTACCCCATTGCCTCGCCTCCCGCAACGAATAGTACTCGGCCAGTCGTGCGATCATAGAGAATCAAGTGGTAATGCGGCTTAAATTGCTATGGTTTGGCAGTTTCTTTTCTCTCTCCCATTTCACCATTAAAAATGATCCTGATACCAGTTTACAGTCGACATAAATACCATACTAACAACGGGTTGGTATTGATTTTAGATTGTTCAACGATTAATTCAATATATTTTTCTAGATACACTAGACAAAAAAATTTTGAAGACATTTTAAAACCATAGATCTTTTAGTATTTGTAGAAAGACTCCTCTGGTTTTGGCTATCATCTGTGGTTTTCACACGCCGTATTAATTTTGTCTTTACAGCTGAAGTCTGCAGCAAAATTTAAATTGAAATTCTTAGCTGACGTATTTCTTATTTGTATCGGTTAACTAGTCTCAAAGCGAGGCAAACGCTGGCTCAGTTCGAGGTGCTTTCCTAACAAGTCATCCTCTCATATTCACGCAGTTTCAGTCGTCTTATTTCACTTTCAAGTCTTCTAATGAATCATTGTCCAAGAGAGCATCACTTTTTTCATTTTTATTGAACCTTTCAACATTAAAACTTTGTTACGTAATTTTTTTTCTTCTTAAATACAGCTCATTTCATAAACTTTGCGCGTGTTTCCAGAATACAGCAAATTTTTGTTCTTTCTCCAGTCTACCTGAGCTGCAAAAAGCTGTCGACCTTCCTCCAAACCTGAAACTTTTGCTCTCAACCTTCCTCATTTTTTTTAACACAATATATAATTACTGGAAAATCGCTCGACGGTGTTTGTGAACCAGGCAAAAGCATGTAATTAGTGATCTTCCCACATCATTTGTCTGTTTGAGCGCAAGTATCAGATAGATTGCAATATCTACATAAAATGAGGAAAATTTGCTAGGCGGTCAATTACTAAGAGAAGAAATGACAAGGACTGATCATTCCATGACAGTTAAGTTAGACAGGTTATTAGTTGTTAGTTTATCAAACATCATTTATCGTTATGGTCGCAAATATATTTTAAACTTATTTTCTGAGAGCTACGAAAATACTTTTATGAGCTAAACCTTTGAAAGAAGGCTTCAATGCTACATTTTTGTAACCAATTTGTCAACCTTAAAGCTACAGATAACCAAATTCATGTGTTCAATGGATTTCATGTTTGGTTTTACTTTTCTGAATGAATTTTTACAATGATTTAACAAGAGAGCTTCCTTAATCCTAACTGTTTACTCTGATGCAAAAGAGCTACCCAGTACATTTCTAAAAATTTTTCTCAAGTCTTTGCAGTAGCTTGTCACTGAAGTCTTCCATCATGCCATTTCACTTCATGCCATTTCCTTTTTGAGAGCTACTTTTTTTTAATTTTATGTGTTGTGCCAGTAAAACCATCATTTTATGTTTTGATGTTCCTTTGAGAATGCTCATCCGTTTTACAGTAAATCACTTTATATTTATAAAAAAAATAGTTAGAAGGTTATTACACAAAAATAGTTAGAAGGTTATCATTTTTTACTTGTATGATTTCTATCATATTGACTGATCAAACCTGATTTTTCTTCTTTGATACAGTTTTTGAAATATAACCTCACCAACTTCATGCAGTTGACATGATTTTTAATGGTTCTATGTACTTATTGATGATTTATTTTCCACAATTATAAGAACTAAACCAACAATATAAAATTAAATTTTTGTCCGCAAAACGTCCTCAATTTTTGACCAAAACCTCCCTCCAAACCAGGTTTGTAGGTGTGCAGTGTTTTTGCGTCTCTGCCTATGACCCCAAATTTCAATACCAATAAAAAAGGAGTGATTTGGTTGTGATAGCTAAAAGCTATTTTTCTTTAAATAATTTTCCCCACAGTTTTTACCCTGCATTGAACACCAAAAGAGAAATTGAGGACATCTCGAGCTTAGAAAAACATCGTTGAATGGTAAGATACCAGCTATAAGAATGGCAAGTCCCTGGCTATAAGAGATTATATATCTCGAATTCAACGCCATTTTCATCTTGCAAAACAGTAAACCCTCGTTTCAAGGTCATTGCACATGCGCATTATCACTTGAAGCCCTGGCAAGAAGTTCAAGAGTTGTGTGGTCACAGACAGAACTGCTACACGAATACTGTTCTTAATGCGCATGTGCAATGACCCTGCAACAATGATTTGTTTAAGACGGTATTGTTTCGAAACAAAGGACTAAAGGTTTCGTCTCCCAAACAAAGTAAGTAAAAGCAATTGAAAGACTTTAAACGGCTTACATCATCTGTCAATCAACTCTTTGCCAATCAAGAAGCCCCTGGATGGTATGACACATGTTGATTGGCCAATGTTGATTGGCCAATGTAGATTGGCCAATGTTGATTGGCCAATGTTGATTGGCCAATGTTGATAGGCCAATGTTGATCCACCAATGTTGATTCGCCAATGTTGATTCGCCAATGTTGATTCGCCAATGTTGATTCGCCAATGTTGATTCGCCAATGTTGATTGACAGATAAACTCTGCCTTCAAAGTTGGCATAATTTATGATAACAAATGAATGGAGTGAAAGATTTGTTGCAATGCTGCTTATTTTTGCAGGAACCAACAGAGGAAAATGCTCCCCCGCCTATCCCATCAAAGGACACTGCCCCACCAATACCGCCAAGGACGACTAGATAGCAAAGCTGTGAGTCTTTGTCGATAAACGTAAAACTTGAATCAAACGACTGTCGTTTATATATAACATTTTCTATTTCTTTTGATATTACTTCATCGAATGAAGAAAATTTTCAAATTAGGATGGCAGTGTTCACAGTTTTGCTCGTGTTTCGCAGAAGTTCAAGTATGCTTCGACTTATGGATTAACCTTTTGCTACTATCCGTGAGATTCACTTTTTGTAAGGGCCTATTGTTAACCTACAACCATCTGTAACAGCAGGCTTATTTAGGCTTGCGTTTATATGCCAATCAGCTAAGATAGCAAACCTCCATTTCATGTGCGAAGGAGCATGGCCATCGCAGTGCTTTTGCAGGATCAGGAATCGTCAGAATGAAAAGCATCGAAAATCAAACATTCTATACCTAACAGAATGTTTGAATGAAAAATATCAAGCTTTTTGCTAGAGCAATCCTTGAATTTATGTGCATAATGGACAATAAAAGGATTGATCTAGGCCCTTAGAGAACCAAACTAATGTGGTATGATATTTGTATGTTATTTTGTATTTTATGAAGATTAAAGTATGCGTTTTTCTGATATTGTAATGTAGTAACAAGAGGATGCATCAGCTGCAGAGTGTTAGCCTCAACCATGCATACTTGTGTGATTACCATTTTTATCATACGTATTTTGTGATTTATCTATGTCTTCAGTTTTGTAAAATGCTTAGATATAGATGAGCCTTCATTTAGATTTCTGAAGATTGAGGTCTATTCAGTCTATCTTTTCATGTCTTGTGTGACGAAATGCTACTCTGTTTGATTCATATCATACCTAGCATATTCATCTAAGTCAATGCGATCCAGGGAGTTGTTAAAACAATGTTCTCCTTGACAGAAACTTGATTAGGAAATCAATAAACCTCGCTACCCACCATCTCTACCCCTCCCCCCTCCGAAATACACATTTTTTACAGACAGCACATCATCGTCCCTTAAAACTTTGGTCCAATTCCAATTGCTTTTTGTCCTTGGCTCTTTTGGATGGCCTAGTCAACTGCCTGTCCTTTCATGCTTAAGTAATTTGCTTTTGGCAGCAACTTTGCTAAAAAAGAAACAGCCTTTAAATTCAATAGCTTTCTGGAATCTCGATGCTTTTTGTAAAGGTCATGTAAGGGTTGTAAGTTTCATAGAGATAGCTCTAGAAAAAGGCCTGGACAAAAATTCAACCGGCAAATGAATTTAATAAAAGCTTGTTCCCAATTTTACTTCTAATTCTTTCTGCTCAAAGGCAATTTATTTCAATAAAACTACTAAAAAACTATCAAACCATTTCCCAAATCATTCCAGTTCTTTCGGTCTATGGGGTCCACTTTCCCCACTTGCGTAGCATCCTTGTTCCTGGTTCCATTTGCTTGCTATAAGAAAACTGAAGTCAGTTTTCATCTTTAGACAATTCCTGCGATGAGACAGAGATACTGAGAGGGCTTTCGTGGAATATGAGATGGATATGACGGGATGTGTATAATCTGATAAGATTTCACAGAAATTCTTACATCATTATGTAATTTGCTAGTCCAGTATGAAACCTAAGAGACCCTTTATGCAAACACTCGAAAAATAATCTCCCTGAAGGTTAATATCTAAAAGCTTTGTAGAACACCCGACCTAAACCAAACTAAATGTGGTAGCGAATTGGGACCTCCCGCTCGAACGGTAACAACGATGATAAGAAATCTATTTTACTCTTTAATTTTGCCCTATTGTTGCTTCACTAATTTGTTATAATATAATGTGTACCTAGCCTTTTGTGTACTGGACCACATAAGAGAGTTTCCGATTCATAACGACTAAAATGAAGACGGTTTATGGAGGCCTGGGTACTAAATGAGTTAAGCCGGTAAAAAGTGATGATGTCATACAAATCTATTTTTAGAACTTTTGAAATTTATTTCCAATGATCTGAAATAACAACATGAATTACCTCTAAATCTGCAAAATCAGTAAAAGCTCTGGCTCCATCAAACCTCTGTAATTTGGTCTTGGTTCATAACTTTATGAACAGAGCCAAAATAACAGTGATTCGTTAACAAACTTTAAATCTTTCATTGGCAATATCTCAACCGATTTTAAAGATATTTGCCCAATTTTGCATGCTTGAAAGTTCAAAAATAGTTTTTTGTGACGTCACACTTGAGAACTCTATAATTATGTATTAATATATTTAGATTGTCTAAAATTGTTATTTACAAAAACAGACGGGAAAAATTAGACAATATAGATTGGGGGGAGGGTAGATCTTAAAATTACAACAGTTTAACAGATGAAGAAGTTTTCTACAGATTCCCACGTCACGTTTGTGTCAAAAATAGCATGCTTATCTTTTTTGCAACCTAGAAACCCCATTATAATGAAGAGTTATGATATCCCCCAAGTAAAGGAAGGGTTATTGAAGTTACTTGAGACCGTGGCAGGCATGGAGTAAATGTGTTTGTTGTTATCCGAAACTGTAAGAATGGACAAGTTGTTCGTTAAAAGTGACTGTTTTTTGTTCGCAAAACCCTCAAAATGAAATCAAGGAAGGCTCGAGGGAGTCTCAAGGAGGGCTCGAGGAGGTTTCAAGGAGGGCTCGAGGGAGTCTCAAGGAGGGCTCGAGGAGGTAAACTACGAAATTGCAAAAAGGTCTTCAGAATCGCATTGCACTATTTTTTTTGAGGTCAGTACGAAGGTTACACGTGCTTGAATAGTGATGTTTCAGCTGTTAGCAATCTGCTAAATGAGATCCATTTACATAACCTTTTCAGCGCAAACTGCTTCAGTTGCATTCTTTCGGATCATTTGAAAATGAATTTAACCACACTATCATCCCTACCGTTGAAAACTAATCTTGAAGAAAGATTTCCCCCTTCCTTGTACTAGTGTATTAGGTTGTCTTATAATAATCACTCGATATTTGACTGTACATTGGCATAAGTTGCAAATAAGAGAATTAAGATACGCTTCTAATTTTTGTTCTCTTTCTAAGGTGACCTAACAACTGCAAATTCATAAGCAAATGCTAGCTTCTATGAACGATTCTTTGGAGCTGGAAACTTATTGACGTTCACCAGAACTAACCAAATCAAGTTCCATGCTTTTTCCAATGCTCTCACCGTGTCTTTGCATACCTAACAGTCTTTTCTTCCTCAGAGGTTTACACAGCAAACACTTTATCTTGTGATTGGTAGATTTACACGAACGATGTTTTAATAGAAAACAACATGTCAGGGAGAGGGAGCAACATGAATGAGCTGGGTCAACTTAGCAGGTCTGATAAAGTTCTCTCAACCAATTTAAAATTTCTGAAATCCCTAAAGCCTTTACCTGACAATCCCTAAATAAGCAGAATATAGAGTGCTAGAATCTGCTATGTTACGTAACAACTTTCGTCACGATCAATTCAAACAAAGAATGCATTTTTCAAGAGAAGAGCATAATGTAGCCTTACTATCCGTTGCGAAGGAGAGTCAATACGGATTGGGTATTGGCTCTCCTTCGCAACGGATAGTAAAGTCTGCACGCAGGCTAAACATAATGTAATGGAAATGTGTTTTTAGGCCTAAGGATGACCCTAAGGCCATTTTCAATCTACTGTAAAGGTCAAAATAAAAACATTCTAAAAACTTAATTTTTGAAAAGTTCTGCAAGAATTTTCTCCACACCAAACCTAGTTCTCTTTAGTGGAAGAAAAAGACATCTCATTTGTTTAAAATTGAAAATGGCTTTAAAAATGCAAACATGCGAGTAAACTAAAGCTCTTGGTCTGACACACTTCAGAGTTTAAAACGTCGTATCTTTGCTTTTTAAAGCCATTTTCAAGTTTTGTACCACCAAAAGATTATTTGTTTAAATTTGTTTAGAAACATGATAGGCATTTCTATTATTTAACCCTTTGCAAAAGTCAGTGCTTATATATCTTTGCTTTTGAAATATATACGGCAAATTTTGAATGGGGGCTATGAAATGTTAGCTACCTTCCATGTAATTCTTTTTTTGTAGACATTTGTATCAACACCTTTGTTAAGGATTGGAGACCATGTTGGAGACACATTTACCCTTTCCTTTCTTAGACTCCATCTATCTTATGCCAATTGCTTTTCCTGTGCTTTTTCATGTTAAAATTTGAGTTTAAAGGAATTTGACTTCAGTACAGCAAAAGTAAAGCGCAAGCAAATACGATGGCCAGATGTAAAAATGCAGTAGGTAAATGTTTACCTTCACTTTTATTTTACTAATCTTTTTATCCTCATACTTTTCTTAATACTTTCCGAGTTGATGTGAAGGTTTGCTCTACGAATTAGTTATCACTAGAAATCTTTTGGGTGTAAGATTGACACCAGCACACCTGTAACCTAGTCATCTACATTTGCCATTTGTGCTAAACTGGATGGCATGGGCTTGCATGATCAGTGAAAATAACACGATAAGCACCCAGGGCCGTCGCTGGGTTTTGTTCACGAAGGGGGGGGGGGAGAGGGGGGGTTCCGATCCCATTTACGGACAAAGTGGTTGGGCCATCCTTTATTTGCTGACATATCTGAAAATTCGCCGACAGAGCACCCAAAAATGCCAAAATTGCTCGTTTTAAATAAATGTTCTTCCAAAGGGATATTACAACCCCACACACCCCAAAGCAGCGCTCAGACGGTTGTACAAAGGGGGCGGGGGGCATTGCCCTGAAATGACGCGTGCTGATAAAAGTAAAATCATTTTCAATATGTGGACACTTATTCATTCGCAGTGAAATTGTCACCCACTGCTTCTATTGATAGTATGTGCCTGGGCAAGTATTTGCTTGAACTTTGCATTAAGGATCCATGTTTGTTCACGTACTTGAAAAGCATTATCATGTATATTTTGAGAACTATAACGGAAATTTTCCAAATATCATCGTTTCAGCTATTCGAGATGATTTGCCGCGGGTTGAACTCCTTGCTTGATAATATAAGGGCAGGCTTGCAAAAAATACGAGATAGAGAACCTCGGAAAGAAATTGTTCTAGTTTTTCAAGGTTTGGTAGAAAAACTTTCTTGTACTGTTACAACAAGTAGGCATAGTTTTCGCTTATATTTCCCCTTGTGTTCAACCGTGTTCAATTCCCGTATGCAATACTTTAGGGAATACACCCCGTGTTTTTCTACGGTGAAAAATTCAGTATCACCAAGCACGCTCCTCTTGACAACTGGATGATTCAGGGTTTCTTGAATATTTTCACAGTACATTAATAAAAAGCAATCCATTTTCATTTATTTTATCAAAAGTTATCTACTTGCAGCTATTGTCATTTTTAGACCCCCATTTTAGGCCCAATTAGACCATCCCTATGTTTCATTAAAACACGCTGCATTTTTCTGAAAAACGTATTCAAATTTTAACCCTTTCTCCCCCGTATGAGAATGTATTGTAAGACCTCCCAAGGGTTTTAAATCTTGCCCTCTCGTGCAGGTTTAACAAATTGGTTAAAGGCCTGGAGTTGAAACACCCTTAAGCCATATCGAGAAGGAAAAGTCTCGTTAATTTTGTTCTAATTTAACTAAAATGATACAATTAAGAGTCAAGATGCAACGCAAAGAAAGCCACACAAGATTTTACAATTTCAAAGCAGATGCAAAATGTGAAGCAATCGTGTAACTCGACATGTGGATCATCTCAAAATAAGTTACGACATTTTACACCTTTGAGTCAAAAGTAGGGAATCGTTAGGCCAAGATGGCTGCTC